CCCCCCCTGCGTTGTTCAATATGCCAATGTTCTGCAATATAAAAATGGACAATCAACGTCATATAATATGCAGAAGGAGGGAAATACAGAATGAATGAAATGAGCTAATGGGATATGTATAGCTTATTGCACTACAAGACAAATACGCCGTGATTATTTTCCGGAGTACTGGTCTGGATAACGCGCGCCATATTGCGTTTTCTCAACAACTCGGCGAGAAGTTGGAGATTAATCCCTTTTTTTATGGAATCGAAAAAGATCGTCTCAGGGAGCCGTTCTTGTGGGATGTTGGAAAGTAAGTACACCATCTTCTCCTATCCTCTTTTTTATTTACCTTGCCTCTGCTGTCTCTGCTGTCGCTGAGGTCTTTCAACTCTATTGATTACTGTTGCTGTTACACTTGTTATTCTTCTTTTGCGCATATTTGCAACAATCAGTAACTCACGACTGATTCGAATGACCGCAGTATCGAGCTGGACGGATCGCTCGTCAAAAAGGACAGTCGACGATGGCATCACAGTCTGGGAAATGCCTTGTGGCATACTGTACGTCCATTTCCTCTACGTACAGCCCAAACCTCCGACTCTCTCTCTCTCTCTCTCTCTCTCTCTCTCTCTCTCTCTCTCTCTCTCTCTCTCTGCGTATAATCCCATTTCCCCGTCGCTTTTCAACCTCCTCCTTTCCCGTGTTCCGCAAGGAAAAAAGAAACAAAACAAAGTTTGAAATGGAACCAAAGAGTAAAGCTAATCATGTAAACAGGACTCATCATACCACCAACAGCGCTCCAAATACTCCATACTCCTCTCCCACGGCAACCCCTCCAAGGGCGGCTCGTGGACGCATTTCGCCGATACCCGTCGAGCGTATGCCGACCTGCCACAGGAGAAAAAGGACGAACTTGAGAATCTGATTGTCGAGCATGAGTGCGTTCCCCCTTGTCTTTCTTTCTTCCCCTTCTGACCTCCAGAGTCTTTCCCTTCTCTCTTTCTCTTTCCCTACCCTTTAGAGGGCGGTCTTACCCTCCATTGTTTTCTCAGCCTCAAAACTAAAAGCTAATGTTGGAAATAAAGCCTGTGGCATTCCCGCAAACTCGCCTCGCCTCAAGTCTACGGCAACCCGCTCCCGCACGAACTCGCCGCGAAACCCCCCGCGCATCATCGTCTCGTGCAAGTCGCCCCCGACGGCCGCAAGACGCTGTATCTCGCTGCTCATGCGAAGCTGATACTGGGTCGCTCGCTCGAGGACAGTCAGAAGCTTCTGTGGGAGTTGATTGAGCATTGTACGCAGCCAAAGGTACGTTTACGTTTTCTGAGATTTCTTTTTTGGGGGGCGGGGGGGTTTGACATTTTACTATTGAACAACTAAAGCTGATGTGTGTGACGACAGTATGTATTCAGCATGGAGTGGCTTTCCGGCGGAGACATGGTCTGGTGGGATAACCGGTATGTCATTTCGATAAAGTCCAACGAGGCACGCTACAACCATCCTCATCTGGTTACTAATAATATGATATCAACAGGCAATCAATGCATCGCGCGAATACATACACGGAAAGCATGACGGCGCGAGATGTGCGGCGGACAACCATCATCGACGACGGGCCGTTGGCGTACGGCGTGTCGTTGGAAGACAAGCTTGCGGCGGGTTGGGTTCCGCCGGAGATTGAGGGCGTAGATGATGCTTAAAGCAGAAGGCGCTTTTGCGTCTCGTCTCGTCTCGTCTCGTCTCCTTCGAACTAGAAATATAAAAGCTACAATGGGAGTGGAGTCAGAATGGGAGTGACAGGGAGATGTCACACTCAGATACCGCATCATCATCATTAGTAAAACCAATGCCAGTGTACATATGATTTGCATTTTTTTTTATTTTGTACAAGGCTACGTACTTTGAGAATCCTGTTTAATTTTTAAAAATACGAACTGGTACCAAGTTCGAGCCCGGAAAGTTTTCACAGAGACCCCACTGATTTAGAGGGTCAAATCTCTATTGATCACTTAAATGTGATCCTAGGCCTTTCCTCAAGACTGATTCGTCCGACAAGCATGCTTCGGAATATCAATGGTCCCAATTATGATATCCGTGTGACTTGAATGGGGAAAAAATGATGCAACAAGGGTAGCGAAACAGACCACAAAGCAGAAAGCTGCGCTCGAAACAAATCTACTACCCGGGTTCCAAGAAGGCCATAGCGAGAAATGCTTTAAAACAACATGTACTCTGTCAACAACACTTTTTTTTGCTTTGTGAACGTGCCCGTGTCGCCCCATGAGATGAAACATTTCTGGTCAAAACGCCGCTATGCAATTCAAAATTGAAAGTGCCCGAGTCCTGGCACAAGCGACCATCAAGGCAAGCAGACTAGATCGCTTAACACCTGTGAGAGTACAAAAGTCAGCGAAGAGTTAAATGGGAAAAATTTGACGTCTAAAAAGGTTAATTGAACAGTATTGGAGGACTTCTCACATCTTGTACTCATAGGATCCGCCTGCTTTCCGGGTCGGGTCGGCCGGCTCAAATTCATACGAGATCTTAATGTCAAGGTCCCGCTTGTTCTTGGAGTTGGGCTTGTTCTCAAGCAGACCCGTAATCTTGTCGCCAGCCTCGACGGTGAGGACGTCCTGGATATAGAACACAGTCTGCTTCCAGTGGGTGTACTTGCTGTGGGGTCCAGTCGAGAAGCGGATCGGCTTGTGGCAGGCAGTGAAATCAATGTCGAACCAAGCAATAAGGGCGTGGACAAAGTCCTCTCGGCGGACATTGAGAGCAAAAGTAGACGAAAAGGCGAGATCGCTGGGTTGGACGGTGTAAAGATCCAGAGTGAGAATGGGAGTAGGATCGGTCACGACAGCCTTGAGCTCAACAGTGTCGACAAGCGGCTCGGTCAATGCGGTTTGCTTCAAGGGAGTATAGTCAAAGCCGTACACATTGTCCCAGACTGAATCCATCGTTAGCAATACCGCATGGGGGCGGGCTAAGGAGCAGAAGTTTGAGCTCACATCCAATCTTTTCCTCCTTGTACTCTCCATCCTCGATACCGGCCAGGAAAAGGGTGGCCTTGTCCGGGAAGATGAGACCGTTGGGGACAAGGTACTTGTCACGCGCATAGAGAACAGTGTCCAACATGCTTTCATACAGGAGAAAGTAGCCCATCCACTCCGAGATGATAATGTCAACCTTGGGGAAAGGAAGCTGAACTTCTTCCATTTTTCCTTGGAGGAGAGTGATCTTGTCCGACATGCCGTTGACTTCGACAATTTCGCGCGCCTTCTCAATGATGCTAGACATGTCGACGCCAATAACATGCTTGGCTCCTGCCTTCACAGCGAACCTATTTTGAAATTAAGGAATTAGGTCAACTATTGTTCAAATCCACGCCGTGGAGATGGCGATTCTATTTTCGCAAAGCAGGGAGGGTTGCACACATGCTGAGGATGGATGTACCACATCCGACATCGAGAACAACCTTGTCCTTGAAAAGGTGACGGTTCTGGTAGATAGCATCTCTGTAGGACTTTGTGCGGACCTCATCTTTCTATTCCCACGCCAGCACAAGTTAGATCTCTTACGATTTAAACTAGGAACGACTTATCACATACCAGCATCTCTTCGTGAATGCCTTTACGACAAATTGACAATCAGCGAGAATGAACAACACCCAAATCTGCGCCAAAGGGTTCCCTACCATGATGATTGTAACTTGGGAACGAGTCAGCAAACAGAACGGAGGATAAAAAAAAAAGAAAGACCAGAGAATCCATACCTGTTGAAATAATGAGCCTCAGAATGCTCCATGCCAGCTAATTTGTCGTCCATGCTGACTGATACGCTGCCGTCAGACAATGGATATGAATTGACGGTCTTTTGGGAAGCTTCAACTGCTTGAAATTCGTTGGAAGCAGATGAAGTGAGTTATCGGAACAATTTAGCGGGACACGGATTTTTCTGCGACGCGGAGAACCCCAGTCTGGAACCAACACAACTCAATCGATTACGCGAAACTGCCTTGAGCTTTCCCTTCCGCCAGAATTATAGCGCTAGCCAATCTAGGACAATGCTTTTCTGCACATGGATTAACCGCTGTACCAGAATAAAGTATGAGAATTCCACGTAACGCTGCCTGAACTTCAAATGCTGCAATGATTTCTTTTCATTAAAAAGCAGTCAAGTCGTTTAATCAAGAATGAATAAAATCTATAAGAATTTGGGTATTAACGGCACAGTTTGCCTGTATCTTCCAAACTTTTACTCTCTACGGTATCAAGTCTAACCAACTCTATCATGCTGAGTACTTTGGGGGCTGCGGAGGACATCAGGCTTGTTGGTCTGATGCAATGCCCGTGTGTGACATTGGTTCCATCGTTCATAGGGTAGGTCCTACTTTCAGCCGAAGATGGACTCGACAATCTCGGCACCTCGAACCGCAAGAATGGAAAGGAGGGTGTCGCTCAGCTTTTTCATAGGTCAATGTTAGTCACGGGCAATAATCTGCAATGGTGTCAAAAAAGGTGGCATTGTACTCACACCGTGGGTTTGCTCATTACACCCCTGCAGCCAGACGCCAGCGTCATCTGCAACAGCCCCTTGTTCAAATCTCACCCGGTAATCTCGTGACACTGCCCACTTCTTATCGGCCTTTGAGCCACCAGGCTTCATGTGATCTGCGTGGCGCAACATCTGTTCATGCGCATCTCTGACATAGCCTGTTGCTACTACCACGGCATCAACATCCAAAATCTCCTCGCGCATCACTCCATTCTTCTTGAAAACTCCAGTGCTATTCTGCACTCTCAAGCGGAGCGGGTGTGCCCCAGATGCAGATACATCCTCTACACTATTGATAGAGCGATGGTTTAAAATCCGGTGCTGCCACGCTTCCTCGTCAGGCTCCCGGAGACGTTGCATGTACATATCCGTGTAAATGTGTTCCAAGAGCTCAATCCGGACTACTCCGTAGTTGGTACTGCGATCAAGTGCAATGGCTTCAGTTCGAATATCCTGGGGCTGGTGGTAGTAGTCATCCACTCGATCAGGATCGAAGATTTCATTTACGCTATTAGAAAAACATCCTGGTTAGCTCCGTATTGCCTGAGCAAAGGGCCATACCTGTCGTGGTATACTTACAATGGAGAGTCATCACTTGGTCTGAGCGCAGAGCCGCGAATAATGAGGCTGGTGTTGGAATTGGGATATCGCGAATGAAGGTCATTGAAGATCTCAGCTGCACTTTGTCCGGCGCCAACGACAGCAACGCGATAGTTCTTGCTTTTGTCCTTGAGCAGCGCCGGAATAGCCATAGAATACCGAGAAGAGTGGATCACATGTGGGTTGTTGGATGGCAGCGGTTGTGGAATTTTTGGTTTACCGCCAACTGCGATCACGACATGTCGCGCTTTTCTTGTGGTGATTTCCCCAGTCTTCACGTTGCGGGAGCGGACCGTGAAGCCATTGATCTTCTCTTGCTCCCCATTCAACTTTTCTGGAACTATATCCACAACTTCTTGTCCGTAGCTGACCACGTCATCGAACCATCCGGCGCACCAACGGAGGTAGTCGTCATATTCGGCCCTCAGGGGTAAGAAGGTGCTCAAATTGACAAAAGGAACGAGACGCTTTCGTCTATGTAGATAATTGAGGAAGGTGAACTCGCTTCGAGGATCGCGAAAAGTGGCCATGTCTTTGAGAAAAGAGATCTGCATTTTGGCGCCCGGAAGCAGCATGCCCGCATGCCAAGCAAATTGGGGCTGGCGTTCAAGGAACGCTACTCTGGGAGTTTTCTCATGAGGGCTTCCATCAGCACCCGAAGTCTTTGAGATTATAGAGTCATGAAGTGCTGTGGCAATGGCAAGAGATGCAGGACCGAACCCGATGCAGATAAGGTCATGCAGCTCTTCTGGGTCTGTGCTACGGAGCACAGATCGGCCTGGCGGAGAAGGAATCAGAGATTCCGGCACCGCTTTCTTCGTCGTGCCGTTGGTACCATTGATACCGTTGATGCCATTGGTGCCATTGGTGCCATTGGTGCCATTCATATCCTTATCCGCAGCCATGGCTGGTTCCCCAGAATTGGAGTCTGATATGTAGGTTCGGCTTGGAGACATTGAATTGCAAAAAAGACGAGCCGAGCTCAAGAAGGAAAAGTGCTCAAAGGGTGGGACAGCTTCAAAAGGGCGCTTCTTTGCAAAAAACCTTCCACTTGGAATGCAATATCTGCTCAAATTATTCCCAGGTCAGAAGATAAGAAATCAAGCGACAACAAGCTCTGCTGCAAGGGTGGGGAAAATTGTGCTGTAGCGAAAGAGAAACACTACCTTGGCTAGCTATTTACTGACTGCACACGGGAGATAGCAACGCCCATGCCACACCTTAATTGACGTGCGAGATAGCGTTTATGATGGTGATGGAGGATTCATGAGTCTAATAAACATCTACGAGCGAAGACAGTGGGGAAGAAGTCGTGGAGCCCATGAAAGCCGAACGAAGCCAATGGTGACGAAACGATCTGCGATTCCTACCCATCCTTTTTTCTTTTTTCCTTCTTTCGTTGCGACAGAGGAGAAGCCGAGAAAGTAATTTTTTTAGGCGGAAAACCGATCACCTCATGGGGTCACCTAGCGTGATTCCCCTCCCAGGGTTCGCTGGGCCCCGCGTAGCTTGAGGGTACTCACCTCGCTGCGTGGCAGGTTCAAACCCACCGGCTCAGACGTTGTGGATTGCTTGACCGGAGGGGACCGCTGTATCGAGTCGCACCTCCGAGATATTTTTTTACGAGGCAAAATCCATTAGAAAATATGATGCCACGTCCTCTACGAGCTATTACGTTTCTACTGACCAAGGATGTGAAGAGAGAAAGAAGTGACAAGGCAATGGACTGCTGTAGGTGCAAAGCTGCAAACAAGGAATCGGAATCAAAGTTGAACTAAATGGGCCAGGGCGGGGCAACGGGGGCATCCGTTTCTCAATCTAATCAAAACATCGGATAAGATTTATAAGATTACGTATCCACTTGACCCCTCTCATTTATCAGATGTTCCTCGCCGATGCCGGGGGCTTCGTGTGCCTGACCTGAAGAGGAAGCTGATCGTCAGTGGAGACATCTTAGACGCCCGAACACACCCGGGAAACACTATTCCTTGTCTTGAGAGCTTTTATGCATAAGTTCGTTTTTTGGTATGGAAGGGAATCACAACCGGGAATTGACAACGGCCTTGCCTTTCTGTGTTACACAGTGACGAGATTGTATGCACGTGTGCCGTGTTTACGTACAGTATGTCGATTTGTCGCTTCTGTACCGAAACATCTTGAAATTTGTAGAACGGATTGCTTTTCCGTGGAACGTGCCCGCTTCCCCCTCTTGTAGCGTCTTTGAGATACCCTCATCAAGGGACGCTAGTGAGACATACTAAGTATGCCCACATAACCTGTCATCCAGCTTGTCAACTAGGTGAGCTAGATGTCTAAGTCTGATTTCCAGAGGCTCTGGAAATTCCTGAGCAAGGAAGAACATGGTTTGACAATTCGAAAGGTCTGTATCGGCCTGGCATAGCATTGTCAAGTTTTCTTTAACAAGGAGAATTTTATTGACTGTGTCAAAAACCCGTTTCAACACGGTAATTTATGACATATAGCCCTAACACAGCCCCGTTCCCGGTAAGCTATCTATTACAGAGATTATCTACACGACCGGGTGTCCTCAGTTGGGTATAATGATTAAGTGTGAACTTTGTTAGAGATAGAAATGAAAGAAAGGCAGGGAAGAACACTTTTAACTGGACACTTATGCAAGCGCCTGCGCCTTGACCATGGCAGCGTAAACTCCATTGAGGGCAATAAGCTCTGCATGCTTTCCTTGCTCAACAACTCGGCCATGGTCGAAAACAAAGATCCGGTCGGCATTCTGAATCGAAGCAAGCCGATGTGCCACCACAATAGTGGTCCGTTCTGATGCTGCCATGGCAATGGCCTTTTGCATCTCCGCCTCAGAGTGTGAATCTAGCGAGGTTAGACGAGATAGCTTGCGGAAATAGACGCCGGGAATTTGCCAACGTACCTAGAGCAGACGTAGCTTCATCTAGCAATAAGATGTCAGGGTCTCGAACGAGTGCACGAGCAATCGCGATTCGCTGTTTCTGCCCGCCAGACAGCTGCGATCCGTTCAGACCACACTCGCTTTTTCAAAGTCAGCATTTCCATGGACACGAGCATACAAAACAAGGCTATCACTCACGTATTGTACCCATCTGGCAGTCCCATGACAAAGTCATGAACGCCACACTTTTTGCATGTATCCTCAATCTCCTCCCTTGTAGCCCTTTGACCTGGCCGCAATCCGAGACTAATATTGAAGAAAACACTTCCAGTGAAGAGATCCGGCTCTTGTGGTACAAGGGCCAACCTCTTCCGATGATCACTAACTGATTTAGAACGAATATCCTCCCCATCAACGAAGATTGACCCTGAAGTTGGATCGAAGAACCTTTCCAAGAGCGAAACAGCTGATGATTTACCAGCTCCAGAAGGACCAACAAGCGCCACAAACTCACCAGGAGAAAGCCTGAGGTCAACATCTTTAACAGCATATTTACCGCCCCTGTTAGCATACGCCAGAGAGACGTGACGGAACTCCACTGCTCCGCGACGCGGCGACATCTGATCAGCTGACATGCTGGCAGATCGACCACTACGAACCGAGACGGCCTTTTCATTGTCCGTTTTGTCAAAAGCTCCACCAAGATGTCCATTGTCAATGGAAGGTTTTTGATCGTGCAACGCAAAAACACTTAGTGCTGCAGATCGAGCCCGTGTCAGTTCTGGGGCAAGACTGAAGAGTTGGCCCGCTCCTTGAGCAGAAAATAACAGAGCAGGCAGAACTATGAAGAAATCCAAAGTGCTATAATCTCCATTTCTGACGTTCCGCGAACCCCACCAGTAGGCGAGCCTGTTACACCTTTCAGCAACAGTGCATACATCAAATGATTAACGGTGACAACTTACGAGTAAACAAAATACCTAGGCACAGAGACTTAGCATTCTAATCTTCAAGCTGGATATTCGTGGCTTACGTTATAGCAAGTGCGAAGGCCAATAAGAGATTTCCAAAGACAATAAATCTAAGACTCTTCTTGTAAGGTCCCTCAATTGCCTTCTTATAAAGGCGCAATATGTCCTTCTCACGGCCAAGGGCCTGCACAGCTCGCATTCCTTGACACGCTTCAGAAGCCAGGGCGGCCGCGTCATTGTATGCCGTCTCATGCAGCTCCTCAAACTTTGCAAGTATGCGCAGCCTCATGAAGCCGGATACAATCATGATCGGGACAGCTGCAAGGAGGACGATGGCGATCTTCCAGGCAACAATGTGCGCAAGAATAATGCCACCAACAATTGAGGTCGTTACCGAAAACACTGTCCCAATAATAACCCCAGAGAGACCACTAAGATGACCGGAATCCATATTGAGCGTTGACATGAGAGAGTGTGACGAATGTCCGGGTTCTGAGAACCAAGACATATCCTGGCGTAAGATTGCTCTCAGAGAAAGATCACGGGTACGACCAACGAGATTCTCCGACACCACGCCAAAGGATGAGCTGCCAACTGAATGCGCAACCAAGGCGATGATGGACAAGACAAAGAACATCAGACAATAAAAATCCGCATGATCTTTCACGACGATTGGGTTGGCGTTGTCGTTTAGGGTTTGAACCAGATGTCCAAAAACGAGGGCTAGAAAGTATTAGAGGCAGCAAGGTGAACGGAGCAGGGGTTTAATAGTTACCTTCTCCGATAATCATGCCGCCACCAACGATAGAGGCTTCAGGAATATGTTAGTGATGAGGAAAATACACTCATGAAGAGATTAAATTTGGCGAGAATTGACAGATATAAGCCAGCACGTACCACAAATACCAACTCCAATGAAGAAAGCTTCAGGTTTGCTGAGCTTGAGACACCTCTTGATGATTCCAAAAGCACTCAATGTGTTCTCCTTTTTGGAAGGCGCTTGAGCCACCGGCACTGCATGTTCGTGAACAGCCTTTTCAGAAGGAAGCTCTTCTGGGAGCGCTTGAATAAGACCGTCGTCTTCTGGTATGCTGTCAAATTCGACAAGACTTTGAGCATTTACAAGCTCCTTATAAGAACTATCCCTGGACATCAATTCTTGGTGAGTGCCCTGTTCGACAAGCCTTCCATGATGCATGATCATGATGGTATCAGCGTCTTTGACTGTTGCAAGCCGGTGTGTAATCATAATGGTAGTTCGGCCGGAGACATGGGCCGCTCTATTCAGCGCATCGAGAACCAATTTTTCGCTAGTAGCATCCAAGGCACTAGTCGGTTCGTCCAAGATGAGAAGAGAAGGTTGTCCGATGAGAGCACGAGCAAGGCACAATCTCTGTTTTTGTCCACCAGAAAGCTTCGTGCCACCAGCCGCACCGACCCGGGTCTGGAAACCTTCCGGTAAATCGTTAATAAATGCATAGGCATTTGCATCGCGTGCTGCCTGGTGACATCGTTCTAAGACCTCTTGTTCCGACAGACCGTGATCATCTCCTAGGCCTTGAGAGATGTTATCTAAGATGGTCCCAGAAAACACGACAGATTCCTGGTCAACCAGTGCCTGAAGCAAACAACGAATCAGCCGAGCATATATGATGGAAGGACAATGGGCGCACATCACTCACAATTTGAGCTCTCAGACTTGGGATATGGAAATTTCGAAGGTCTTCTCCACCAATAGTAATTCTCCCAGAGCAGGGGTCATAGAATCGCAATAGAAGCGATGCCACCGTAGACTTTCCGCTTCCGGAAGTCCCAACGATACCAGTCATGGCTCCGGGTTTGAAGTTTAAGTTTATCGTCTCCAGAACGCGGGTGGCAGGACGAGCGGGATAAACAAATGTTACATGATCAAAGCTGATTTGTCCTTTGAATGTACCTGCGTCGGCGCGGATGCCGTCATTGGAGTATACATTGATGTGAGGTTCTGGATGGTCCAAAATCGCAAATGCTTTTGCACCCGAGGAAGCAGCCAGAGCAAAGGTCTGTAAGAATGGACCAAACGAGCCAATAACAAACGCGGCATCTAGCATCAGGAACACGACAGCGTAGACAGTTCCGGCTCCACCCTTGGAACTGTTAGAGGCCACCATCTGTGAACCTTCCCAGAAAGCTAGCCCGTTGGCTGCATATCTGTAAGATCAAGAATGTTAGCAAGGCAAATGAACATCTGCTCTGATCGCACTTACGCTACAAAATAGACACTACCAAGCATCAGAGCTCCACACATTGCTTTTCTGATGCCCGCGCGGATAGACAGACTCAACATATCCACATGCTTATTGGAGAGAGTGTCAGATGCATTAAATGCCTGGACTACTTGGACTGCGCGTATTGCCCCCTCGGCGAGAGATGCAGCCTTCTCAGTAAAAGATGAGGCCTTCTTGGAATATGTCGACACTAGAGTCGTGCCTCCGCAGACAATGATAGCCATAGATGGGATCACTGCGGCAAAGAGAATGCCGGCAAGTTTGGCATTGAGTATCAGGCCAACAACAAATGCGGCGACAAAATAGCTCGCGGACTGGATGAAAAGTCCTACTTTCTCTGAAGTGCCCAACTGAATTGTCTGTGTATCTGCCGTGAGGCGATTCGCAATCTGGCTATAGTTAGTATACCCTACATTTAACAAATACATCTCTTTGAGGCGCAATATCATCACAGTCGGAGGATCATTGCTTGACTTTCACTTCATTGGTGACGCAAGCCCGACGCTTGTGTGACAGATGGTGGCTCTGGGTCGCACAATCATTTACCCCACTTACATCTGGACATTCAACTTCAAAATAAGCCATTTCCATACCCATTGCTCTCTCAACTAATTGCTCACGGATTCGACGAGAAACTCTCTCTCCAACCAGGCCCCAGCAGACGGCCCAGCCCCATGTTACCACAAAGTATGCCACCGCTGATCGCCTATCAGTGTCTGGATTGAATCTACAGCATGCCACAGGAAACACGCACCAACGCCAAGAAGCTGAGAGATGTGTACCCGCAACTCCTCCTCAGAGGGTGGAAAGGAATTAATGAGCTTTCCGAAAATAACTCCAATAATAGGGAGAGGTATTCCGCCTGCAATTGCTAATAATACGCCGGCGAGAAGTATGAACCGCGACTGCCAGTCAGTCAAGGGCCGGAAAAGCGCGAAATAAGATGTTTTGAAGGGGTTGAGGCCCAGTAGCTGACGAAAGAGGTTCTTGGGAAGCGATGTGGATTCGACGTGCCATCGATGTGGTGCAGCAGTGCTGAGGGATGCAATATCCACATCGTCGCGCCATTGATGCCGCTCTTGGGCAGCAAGCTCTCTGCTTGGTGCCTGCCTTCTTGACATGATCCTCAAAGATATGAGGTAGAATCCAACAAAAGGATGTCAAGAATTGAAGGGCAAAGAGCAAATATTGGGCCGGCACTGGCAGGAGGACAGGAACATTTTCCTGGACGAGAGTTTCGACATGACGAATTTCTCGCGAGGCAGCTTCCTTGTGTTTCCCCACTTGTCTCGGCGTTGGAGCAGAGGAGCCCAAGGGATCGACGTTGGTCCACAGCCATGTTAGCTTCCGGGCTTGTTCCTCTGCATTCTCGGCCCGCCGGTTGGCAAAGGTACTCAAAGTGCGCCACTGTCGTATAATGCCAGGAGAAACAACCAGCCTAAAAATTTTTTCTGTCCCCTCCTCTGCACGCCATTAGACAAATTTCCGAGGCATGCTTGCTAGAGGCCTTGAAGGATCTTCGCTAGACAAATCCACACAAGGGATTGCACCTTAGCTCCTGTTTGGAGCTGGTGCATGACGACAAGGGTTGAAGAGCTCGTAAGCTCGAGCTTCTACCGTACCGGACAGGAATCCACAGTGGGTAATAGACATTCAAGCCTGAGACAGCGGTATGTTTAGCTCGCCAATGTGGACGGGGCAGAGGCCATCAGACCCACCATGATGGGATGTGGGGCTTATCAGATCCTTTTTGACAGAAAGCCATGCACACTCCGACGTCGGATATCAGATCCTTTCCAAGGTCGGCTAGAAAGCGTTGGAGAGAAAGGTGTGAGTCTTTTAATTGATTAAAACAGCTGGGATGTTTTTACGGCAGTCATTAAGGCACAACCCGAGCCCTCCCTAATGAGGAAGACGATCTCCGAGCTGCTTCATTTGGCTTAAAAGATGCGTTTACGCGATGACTGACTAGCGTCTCTCTAGCTCGGTAGCCCAAGTTTGAATTATCTGATGAAAATTTATCTGATGAGGGATAATCTGATGACGCTTTCCCGTCCTTGGTCGACACGCGAATCATACTTGCGCTAACTAACAGTCCCCTCGCCCCTAAATTTGTAGGCTTGCTAGAACTTTACCATACCACAGTAGTTGCCTTAGCTGCTGCTGCTGCTGCTGCTGCTGTAGAGTGGTCCCCCATCACGTCACACTCGTGAATCACAAGTCAATGTCTCTTGAGGCCACAGTACTCGTCACACATTGTGTTCTAGTAGAGGCTCCATTTCATCTCGGCACTTTCTACCGAAGGCTTTTTGCTGATCCTGGGCTTTCGTCCACGCGAGAAATAGAAAAATCAAGACCAAAGAACCTTCCAAAAAATTGGTGTTCCTGTCATCGATGCCGAGGCGTCGCTTTGGAGCACGTCTCCACACCTCTGGCGAATCGCGCTAAAAACTCTATGGTCAAGGGAGCAGCCAATGCCTTCACACTTGGGCAGACCCAAAGGCCCCTCATACGATACCATGTCTAGAGCAGTCGGAGCGTGTCTGGGGCGGTCAATGCATCGATATTATGAGTGGCAGAATGATAATGGAGATTTGAGCACCGTGATCCTTTCTTGACCATAGAACACCTTGTCGCTGCAATTCGTGTTATGATTCTCGACAGTTTGTTGAACATTTTTCTGGCCTGATAGACACATCCTACAGCTTGGGGCCTCTCATTGATTGTCTCCAATGGCATATTTGCGCTTCACGCCCTTTCCTGATCTCTGCTCCTCCCTTCAGCAGAAGGAGCCACAAGTCCGGTCTGAACAGCAATGGCGGACCAGCATTCCAAGCGTAGCACACGATCAACTCGTGGTAGCCTGGGGACTGCTCTTGCAAGCATATACCGGCGAGGATGAACCTGCTTTTCTCTTGGATAAGGAAGCAGTCACTGTAAATGCAGCTAATCTGGTATATATTCGCCGTGATGAAGAGATTCTAGACAATGAATCTACAAGGCATACTGGCCTGTTTTTTAATCTGGTACTCACACTCTTTTTTACTTTATGAGATCGCTGCTGACTTTCCTCGTCCCTAGTCGCCTGCACCGTGCCACCTTGCGTTGCAATTAGAATATGATGTCGAGCGGTCCACTGGCCGCCTTACGAGCTCTGGTCTTCTGTCTCCAAATTGTTTGGCACAGGTTGGCCAGCAATTGACGGCAATAATGCGCTCCCTAATTACGAAGGAGAATGATACGACCTACTCTTATCCTACCGACTGCGGCGAACCACTCTCAATTCTCAATAAACATCCCCGCTTATTTAACGGCCCGAACATGCTTCATCGGTTGCTCGAGAAGCACTCAGAAAAAGAAGACTGTGCAATTGACTTCCTGGAGGCGGATGGGTCTCATAGGACTTATTCATATGCCGCTGTGGAAAAACACTCCAATAATATTGCACTTAAGCTTCGCACACTCCTTTTCAGCGGCGATAATGCTTCCAAACAGCATATTATACCGATACTTATTCCTCAGTCCCCCGAGCTTTACATTTCAATCATTGGAATTCTCAAGGCTGGCGCCGCATTTTGCCCGTTAAACCTTGACGCTCCGCAAGATCGGCTCCAATTCATTTGTAAAGATGTTTGTGCAAAAGTCCTCGTCACAACTCAAGCGTGTGAGAAACGACTAAGCTGGCCTGGCTGCCCACAAACTGTAAATATTGACTTAATTACGGAACCTGCGTTCGAGGAAAGAGAAGGGGAAAAACGGGTCGCAGAATGTATCGACTTACACCAGGCTGGCCTGGCATATGTAATGTATACTTCTGGAAGCACAGGGGCTCCTAAAGGTGTTGGGGTCTCCCATGCCGCGGCGAGTCAAGCGTTATTAGCGCATGATCGTCATATACCGTCATTTAATCGTTTTCTTCAGTTTGCTGCCCCTACGTTCGACGTCTTCGTATTTGAAACATTCTTTCCTCTGTATAGAGGTAGTGTCCTAACTACGTGTCGTCGGGATCAGCTTCTAAGGGACCTACCCGACACCATGAGTAGGTTGCAGGTTGATGCGGCAGAGTTGACGCCGACAGTCGTAAGCGGACTATTGCGGACGAGGGATGCTGTCCCAACACTCAAGGTGCTGCTTACGATTGGCGAAGCTCTGCCACGGGGAATAATCGATGAGTTTGGCGGATCTTCAAGCCAGCAATCAATACTATACGCAATGTACGGACCTACTGAGGCCGCCATTCATTGCACCTTGGTACCTCGAATGTTATCAAGTAGCAAGGCTGGTACAATTGGCGTTCCGCTGGATACTGTATCTGCTCTTATTATACCACCACACCGTCCAGGGGCTTCCAGCCCGGACGATGTTCAGGCCTTGCCTCAAGGTTTCGTCGGTGAGCTTGCCGTTGGTGGAAATCAACTCGCAGACGGTTATCTCAATCGACCAAATAAGACAAAGGAAGCTTTCATTGATACCAGGCATTACGGTCGGATCTACCGTACCGGGGACAAAGCAAGGTTGCTCGCAGATGGCTGCATTGAGTTCCTTGGAAGGATATCCTCCGGCCAAATCAAGCTTAGGGGCCAAAGAGTGGAACTAGGGGAGATCGAAGAAGCCGCTACACAGACAATAGGTGTAAGGTTATCCGTTGCCTTAGTGATCCACGGAAAACTTGTGGTTTTCTGCGTCGCTGATGACAATCGAGTCACGTCGAATGATGTATTGAGTACTTGTCGAAGCTGGCTTCCAGCATTCATGGTGCCTGCTGACATCGTCGTGACAAATGAAATTCCAAGGCTAGCATCAGGCAAGGTTGACAGGAAAGCGCTGGAACGCGACTACCAAGAGTCTCAGCCTTCGGGCACCCTTCCGGGTGATGAGGAGCTGGATGAGATCGAGCAAAAGATATTGGAAACCGTCCAAGGCATTTTAGGTTCCAGGATTTCGAAATCTGCAAGTCTTGTCTCAGTTGGACTTGATTCGTTACTTGCAATAAAGTTGGCTTCACAACTTCGTCCTCTAGGATTTGACATCAGTGCTGTTGATCTATTAGCCCTCAATTCCGTTGAGAGAATTCGCACCCGCTGCAGTCCATCTGAGAAAGATTTTGTGGTCGACAGTAAGCAAAAGAACGCTGAGCATATCTGGCAGGAGCGATGCGCTCAAACACGGCACGCCATCGAAGATGCTTTAGGCACAACAACTACGATCGCTGATATTGAAGGTACAATGCCTTGTACTCCTTTGCAGGTTGCCATGCTCTCTGAGACTGCAAGGAACCCCAAAGCATACTGCAATTGGATCGAGCTTCAAGTGCGTTCAGATGTTTCTATTCCACAGATCAAAGAAGCCTTTCAAGCTGTCGCGAAGAACAATACAATTTTAAGATCCGGATTTATCAGTGCTCCCACTAGTACGGGGCCTTATGTGCAAGTTATTTGGCGAGATCTTTCAGATACGCAATTTCGACAGACTGAAAAGTTCAGCTATGGATTTAGCTTAGACGGGATGAACGCCTATCTGCGGCCTTTGCGCGTTCAAATTGGTTTCATTGATGGCGAATTGCGCATCCTAGCCCACATTCATCATGCTCTTTATGACGGCTGGTCCTGGGAGCACCTTTTGAACGACATAGGAGACCTGATTAAGGGGAAGCCCCTCGTCGAACGTCCGCAATTTCAAGAAGTCGTTAAATATAATATGAAGTTCATCGAGGGGCTCTCGTTTTCTGAAAGTAAAGCGTTTTGGCAAGCACGACTTGCTGATATTACACCTTCGTTACTACCGAATCTCAGTGGCCGCGAGCCCGCACCTCCCAGCTTTGATATTCAGCACTGGAGAATGGAGACAAGCCCTGCCAAGCTGGCAAGCTTCTCTAGAAAGCTTGGGGTCGGCCTACAGACTTGTTTCCAAGGTGCCCTGGCTTATATCCTAAGCCGCTACATTGGGACATCGGAAGTCATAGTAGGCAACGTATTTTCTGGTCGTACCTTGCCTATCACTGGTGTTGAAGAAATCATGGGTCCGTGTATCTCTACCTTGCCGGTGCCAACTTCTGTACTTGCATCACAAACTATTGCGGAATACTTACAAAATCTCCACCACAAAAATCGGGAAATGCTCGAATTCTCAACATTCCCCCTTGGTGAGATCAAGAAATGCTCGAAAATGGAACCTGGTCAGCCACTTTTCGACGTATTATTCGTATGGCAACAAACGCTACAAAGCGAAGATGATTCCCGAATATTTCGCCAAATAAATTCTAGGGATTTTCTGGAGTTCAACCTTACTTTGGAAGTTGAGCCTTCCCCGGATCAAATCCGAGCAAAGGCAACTTTTAATGAGTCTATAATTCCTCAAGCCCATGTTGAAATTCTTCTGCGGCAGCTAGATCAACTTGTTTCTGCTTTCATCGACCGATCGATCGAAAGGGTTTCCTGTTTGGACTCTTGCTTTGACCAGCATGCGCTATCCATCCAGAGCATCAGCGATGATGTCCATGATCCGCCAAGCCCATCAACCCTTTTTGAGGCAACAGTGCAGCGAGCACCTGGAAATATTGCAATCACAATCGCTAATTCTATCACTGGCATCGAAGTCGAATATCAATCCTTAACATACCTCGAGCTGGATCAGCGCGCAAACCAGCTTGCTCATTTCTTGTTAGCAAATTCAGTACAGCCGGACGATCTCGTCTGCATTTGTATGGAGAAATCGTTGGAATTATACACCTCAATATTAGCGGTGATCAAATCAGGTGCGGCATATTTGCCGTTAACGCCCGAGACTCCAAGAGATAGATTCAAGCATATCCTGGAAACCGCGAAAGTAAAGCTCTGCCTCGCGAGATCTTCCTCGAGGACCACGTTGGAAATTCCAGAATCCGTCGTTGGTATCAATGTTGACGAGACAGACTTCGGTGCTTTTTCTTCCAAAAACCCTGTGTCGCCGTGCAATGACTCGAATATTGCGTATGCAGTTTTCACCTCCGGAAGTACAGGAACGCCTAAAGGTGTTCTGGTGACACGAAAAAATCTTTCAACCAACCTTGAGGTCTTGATGACGGAGTACCCACACCCCTTGGGTTCACGATTATTACAAGCTTGCTCTCAAGCTTTTGATGGTACGTTGGATTCGTTGGGATTTGCCCTTTTAATGAAAATTATTCATCTGACTTCATTCTTGCAGTTTCTGTTTTCGAGATCTTCTTTACATGGTCCACGGGCATGACCCTTTGCTCTGCTACCAACGATGTTTTATTCCGTGATATCGAACATGCAATCCGGAAAATGGGAATTACTCACCTGAGTCTAACGCCGACGGTGGCGGGGCTCATAGACCCACGTAACGTTCCCAATGTCAAATTTCTCGTCTGCGCTGGTGAAAGCATGACTTCGAAAGTTTTCCGCAGCTGGGCTGGCAGAGGACTTTATCAAGCCTATGGGCCGAGCGAGACAACCAATGTTTGCACACTCAAGTCCAGGGTACTTCCGTCTGATGCCATTAATAATATCGGTCAAGCTTTGCGTAACACCTCCGCTCTCGTTATTCGAGGCGATAGTCCGAACATATCACCCGTTCCCAGAGGTAGTTTGGGTGAGTTTTGTTTCGGTGGGGACCAAGTTTGTCGAGGATACCTCAACATGCCTGCAATGAACTCTGAGAAGTTTTTCTCGCACCCGGAGCTCGGCAAACTATATCGAACCGGAGACTACGGGCGGATGCTGCATGATGGTTCTTTGGTGTTCGTAGGCCGAGCCGATGAGCAGGTCAAACTGCGGGGGCAGCGAATTGAGCTTGGGGAAATTAATAATTGTTTGCTTCAAGCCTCGTGTCTGGAGAATTGTATCACGATGCTCGTGGAATCTCACACAACCCGCGCCGCGCAGCTAGTATCGTTCTGGATCCCATCAGGCAGCGCCAATTCTGAAACGAGAATCTTATCTGTTGACGAAGGCATAAAGGTCCACATCGGGGAGCTAAATGATCGTCTCAAATTGACCCTCCCTGCATATATGCAACCTGCATTTTTGATCCCAATTACACAAATCCCTCGGACCAGTCAAGGGAAGGTCGACACACGCCGGCTACAGTCCATCTTTGATGGTCTGGGAAACGAATATCTCGATTCGGCGTGTCAGCAGCAAGATGAGAGTGAGTCAGGAACTGCATGGTCAGATCTTGATCTGAAAATTCTAGAGGCAGTTTCGCAGGTTGTTGGTGTCTCTGCCTCAGCTATTCGGCGTCATACCTCATTATTCAGTCTTGGACTTGACTCTATCTCAGCTATTGCTCTTGTGGGACGCTTGAGAGAGTCCCTTTCCTGTCAGCTTGACGTCTCAGCTATTTTGAAAAAGCCCACAATTGCCTCACTAGCCGGCGAAGTCATTAAGCTCCGCCAAGAAAGCAAAGAAGCTAAAACAGTCTCGACTGATCCTCAGATTTACTTTGATCGAAGCTTTTTGGACGATACTGTGAGTATATTCGAAGGAAATGGGAAGAGTGTTAGAAAAATACTTCCGTGCACTCCCCTGCAAGATGCAATGCTTTCGGCTGCCATTGCTCGCGGCAACAAGGCTTACTTTAACCATTCTGTCATTGAAATAAATGGTGACATGGAGAGGCTTAGAAAGGGCTGGGAGATGATGGTGAAGAGGCACGATATCCTTCGGACTTGTTTTGTATCCAGCAATAGTCGGGTTTCTGCTTTTGCTCAAGTTATTTTGGATCAATGTGATACTCCTTGGAGGGTGATTGAGGCTTCACCGGACTCGCTTGGAGTTGCAATTGACGCTCGCAAGGCTGAAATAACAACGTTCATGGACAAAAATGCGCCGCCATTTGCTTTATCTGTCTTCAGAACATCTCAGGGGATACATTTGCTTCTATCGATGCATCATGCACTTTACGATGGTCGCGCTTTGTCATTGTTGTTTGAGGAAGTCGAGCATGCTTATCTCGGACTGGAGTTGATGCCCACTGTTCCTTTCGAATCTTTCCTCGAATATTCGGCTGGAATGGAGAAAGATGAGGCTGATGCATTCTGGGAACGGCAACTGAAAGATTTCACACCAACTTCTTTCCCTGATCTCACAGGTAAGTCTGCTCGGGAAAGGAGAACGCTTACTGGAAGCAGTGTCGCAAGAATGGTCTCAGCTTTGCCGCTTAGCAAGATACAGAACGAATGTAGACTGCTTTCAACAACTTTGCTTGCCGTGGGTCAGGCCGCCTGGGCCAAACTCTTGTCTGTTTATCTGGGAGAAGAGGATATCTGCTTCGGCAATATTGTAAGCGGCAGAACGATTCCCCTCGATGGCGTTGATCGCATTGTGGCGCCTTGTTTCAACACACTGCCAGTCAGGGTTGCAGTGACCCAAAGTCCAACAAATAGAGATCTGGCACAGAAATTGCATGCGATAAATACCTCTGCCCTCCAATACCAATTTACTCCGCTCAGACGCATTCAAGCCAAGCATGGCGAGAGCGGGACGCATCTTTTCGATACATTATTCCTGTTACAGCAACCCCAATCAGGTCTCGACCACAGCATATGGGCTTTAGAGGACGACACTGGAGACATGGACGTATGTATCTTGCTCTTGAAGAATACATTCATGGGACCTTCTAACAATGTCTAGTTCCCTGTTGTCTGTGAGCTGATACCGAATACTGCGGAGAACACTCTTCAATTTTCATTATATTACTATCAGTAAGTTAAAAATATTGTGTCCCAGCATGACAAATTTCTTACTTTGCACAGTTCCATTATGGATGACCAAGATGCATACCGGATCCTGCGTTCGTTAGACGTCTCACTTTCAACCTCTTTCGATCAACCTTCAACTGCTCCACTCGATTTTAGTATGTTCTCCCATGACCTTCTTTCATCGAGCAACACGGACTTCAAAACTCTCAATCCATTAAACGGAGATGTCATAACAAAATCTTTTGAGAGGAATGTGGCGTTATCTCCGAATGAGCTTGCGCTAGATTTTCTGGGGGCGGATGGGCAACGGACAATCTGGACTTTCGACCAGTTGAATAGATACGCCAACCGCATTGCGAACACTTTAATCGCACGGGGTACGAGTTCAGAAGAGGCAACACCAATTTGTCTTCGGAAAAGTCCCCAGTTCTATGCGAGCGTGCTGGGTGTCCTAAAAGCTGGTGCTGCTTTCACACCGATTGATCCTCAAGCGCCAAGCGAGCGAAAAGCGTTCATTCTCCAGGAACTTGGTGCGCGAACCATACTTTCAAGCAGCGAAATTGACCTCTCGTGGTGCGACGTTTCCGTTGTTGACGTCGACATTGTCATGAGATCCGACGGCTGTGCTACAAATCCAAACATCCCATACAGCCCTTCGAGCCTGGCGTATAGACTCTACACCTCTGGTTCGACCGGACAGCCGAAAGCGGTCAGCGTAGAGCATAGAAACGCCATCCAAACAATTGAGAGCTCAAGATCGGCTCTACCATGGGAAAGAGGCTTACGTTTTCTTCAGTTTGCGGCCATTACCTTCGATATGTGCTACTATGATTGCTTTTTGGCTTGGAATTTTGGGCTAGCATTGTGTGCAGCTCCCCAATCAACGCTGCTGAATGACCTTGCCTCTGTTATTAATCGTCTGAATGTTGACATGCTCGACTTGACACCCACTGTGGCCTCCACTTTAGCACGATCGGCTGTCCCGTCGGTAAAATGTCTTTACTGCATCGGTGAAGCTATGCCTCAGAAACTGGCCGACGAATGGGATGGCTTATGTTTGAATTCTTACGGTCCAACCGGTGGGTTTCATCTATTCATTGCTCACAGATTTTTTTACACTAAACTTCCGATAGAGGCTGCTATGTGCTGCACAGTATATAGAGTTCAACCAGACATCAAATCCTCCGTTATCGGCATTCCTTTTCCAACTACGTCGTTCACGGTAATTTCTCGTATCAGCGGCTGTACCGTGCCAACGTACGGAATTGGAGAATTACTCATCGGAGGAGGCCAAGTAGCTCGCAACTACCATGCAAACAAAAAATTGACCAAGGCCCAGTTCATCATTGGTAAAGATGGACAAAGAAAATACAAAAGCGGGGATCTTGTGAGAATGCTCGGTAACGGGCTTTTTGAATTTATTGGGCGCGCCGATGATCAGGTCAAAATACGTGGGCAGAGGGTGGAGCTTGATGAGATCAATGCCGTAATTAAGGCTGGAGTTGATGGAATTAGGGACGTTTCGACGCAGGTATTGAAACAATCAACAAACACAAAGGAGCAACTAGTCAGTTTTCTTGCGACTGGCTCGTCTTTCGACATCGATAGGGCCCCTACAGTCAAGGATTGCGCTCGCAAAGCGGCATCTCGGAAGTTACCAAGCTACATGGTACCTACTATCTTCGTTGTACTAGACAATATCCCTCTTTCCGCAGCAGGCAAGGTTAACAAGCGTGCACTGCTTGAAACTTTTCAAAAGGAACAAGAGAGCAGCCTTGATACCCAACAAGCATCCGATGCAAATGCTCCGGAATCCCATGACTGGTCTCCTGAAGAACAACAGGTCCGTTCCATCCTGTCCACGCTGTCAGGATTACAGAAGCAACAGATGAGACGGGATACAACCATCTATCAATTGGGCTTAGATAGCATCAGTGCTGTTCAGATTGCGTCTTCTCTTCGAGACCGTGGCTACCAGGCTAGTGTTGGCGACATTTTGAAGGTAAAACTCATTGCATATTGTCGAAGTACTAGAGATTAACTTGAGGCAGGGCCCGTCAATTGAGCAAATTTCCACCACATTGAGAGCTGACGCAAGCAAAGTTGACTTGCCGATTTTCAATTTTGAACGTTTCGAAAAGGAAAATGGCCAAAGTGTTCGCGCCACTCTAGGGAACCGTCAAGTTGAGCTAGAAGCGATACGGCCTTGCACGCCTATACAATCTGGAATGATTGCCCAGTTCATCCATTCTCAAGGACATATGTACTTCAACCACCTTGTCTTGGAGTTTGATAGCAGCATCGACACCAACAGAGTCCTTGAGGCTTGGCAAGCGGCTGCGGTGAAATTTGAAATACTTCGCACCGGTTTTGTCAAGACTTCTGACAGACAATATCCGTTTGCAATGGTGACCTACAAAGCAGCAGCCTTGCCGGTCCTGTGTGGTGATTTGGGAACTTCCTCTTCTCCACTTGCCACCCTGCGAAGACAGAGACAGGATATCGGAAGACGAGTCCTTGATAATTTGCATCTGCCACCATGGCACTTGACCACGGTGCGCACACAAGAGGGGAAGCTTACGCTCCAACTTTCCGCGCATCATGCTTTATATGATGCACACTCTCTCAACATCATCCTCAACGACATTCAAAGTTACTACCATACAGGCAATATGCGATCGACCCCTTCGTTGAACCCTGTTCTTGGTGCAATTTTAGCGGCAAATGAGGATGATACTGAGCAGGAAATCTTTTGGCGTGGAATGAGTAATCGTGTCGCCGTCAGCAAGTTTCCAAATTTGACGCCTTTGCGGGTCAGTGCAAACAGCAGTCCAGTTCTGACAAAGGTCTGTTCAGAGTTGCGCACCAAACTTGAGTATAAGTGCAGGACCTTGGGCATCACCCTTCAAGCGGCTGGGCAAGCTGCTTGGGCGCGGGTTCTGTCGGCTTATACTGGGGAATTTGTTGTGACCTTTGGATCAGGTAAATAATGTAAATCTCTGCTAATATTCATTTTGGCTAATCCATCCGCCAGTCTTTTCTGGAAGGACGTTGGGTAGGGATGCTGAACTGGCCGTATTTCCCTGCATATCTACGCTGCCCATCCCTGTACAGGCTACAGGAAGCAACCTTGACTTGCTGCGCCAAGTCATGGAGACAAACGCCAGGTTGATACAGCATCAATTCACGCCCCTTCCAAAAATCCAGCATTGGACTGGCAATCCATCTCGAACTCTTTTTGATACTCTTTTTGTATATCAGAAGATTAGTGAAAAGAGGCAAATAGCCGACTTTGGATCCGTTGTTGACGAACAGGCTTCAGTAGACGTATGTACTACTTTGTGTCGTGCGCTGTCCTTTGCTGACATTTCTCGAATAGTATGCCATCTCGATCGAAATGGAGCCTCTAGGTGCCGAAGATGTTGAGTTTCGGATCACATTCAAGGAAGATTTGATCCCCCCTAAGCAAGCCTCAATCTTGTTAGATCAGCTTCACGCAGTGCTTCTGGACACGCTCAATTCTCCTCACAACGACTGCAGCGATATGACAAATTTAAACCCCGCCCTCCTATCTGTCGTTCCTCCAAAGCAACCAACTCTCTCCTCTGAGGTTGAATTACTCCATCAGTTTGTTGAGCTGCATGCTCTCAGGACGCCGGGCAAGGTAGCCTTCGAGTTCGCAACAGATCTCCATAGTGGGAATACGGTGAAAAGACAATGGACATACCAGCAGCTTGATGAAGAAGGAAATAGAGTAGCGCATCTGATACAAAAATATGGCGCTTCTCCTGGTGATCTTGTTGGCATTTGTTTTGACAAATGTCCGGAGGCTTCTTTCGCTATCCTCGGTATCATGAAAGCTGGCTGTGCTTATGTTGCTTTAGACCCGAGCGCGCCAATTGCACGAAAAGGCTTTATCATTAAGGATTCTCAGGCTAGACTTATAGTCACGACTACTGATCTGACGCATGAACTGAGGGAGAACGTGGAGGTTCCGGTACTGTCTCTTGATGGCGCAGAAAATGCCTCGGGAATGCCATCGAGACCGCCAACTTTGAGCAGGCAAATTTGCGCGTCTGATGCTTGCTATTGCCTTTACACATCTGGTATTCCAGCTCACTTCTCTACTTTATCACATTGCTAATTGGTCGTTAGGAACAACTGGTACGCCCAAAGGCTGCGAGCTCACTCACGAAAATGCCGTCCAAGCTATGCTGGCTTTCCGCATCTTGTTCTACCCACATTGGGACGAGCAGTCGCGCTGGCTCCAATTTGCATCTTTCCATTTTGATGTTAGCGTTCTTGAGCAGTTCTGGAGTTGGAGTGTTGGTATTTGCGTGTGCTCGGCTCCCCGTGAACTCATTTTCGAAGACATAGCTGGCGCTATCCGTGAACTCGAAGTGACGCATATTGACCTTACTCCTAGCTTAGCAAGGATATTGCATCCCGATGATGTTCCTTCATTATGCAGGGGCGTCTTCATCACTGGTGGTGAACAACTTAAACAAGAGATCCTAGATGCCTGGGGTCCTAAGCAAGTGATCTACAATGGGTATGGCCCTTTCTTTGCTTTCCTCTTTTTTTCTTGGTGTCAACGGGGCTGACAAATTGTAGATACGGCCCTACGGAGGCGACCATAGGAGTCACAATGTATCCAAGAGTGCCCGAAAATGGGAAACCTTCAAATATTGGAAAGCAGTTCGAAAACGTGGGCTCCTATGTGTTTCGACCCGGAAGTACAATGCCCGTGCTACGCGGTGCCGTGGGTGAGCTGTGCGTTTCCGGAAAGCTTGTTGGTCGAGGTTATCTGAATCGACCAGAGCTCACTCGCGATCGATTTCAATACCTCGAACAATTTTCTGAGAGAGTATATCGCACTGGAGACTTGGTGAGGACCTTACATGACGAAACTTTCGACTTTCTTGGGAGATCCGATGACCAAGTCAAGCTCCGTGGTCAACGTTTGGAGATAGGTGAGATCAACGACGTGATAAAAAGAGCGAGCGATAGTATCGAAGAAGTTGCCACACTCGTGGTTCGGCACCCGCAGCAGCAGAAGGAGCAGCTAGTATCATTTGTTGTTTCCAAGGATTGGAAAAGGACCAATAGCAAAGACCGCAATCCTTTGTTTGTTTCAGGGTTTAGCAAGGAAATGGGTTCCATTTTCAACGCTTGCAAAGCAAAACTACCCGGTTACATGATTCCGACTCACTTTCTTCCTTTGACCTCCATTCCTCTTTCCCCCAACAACAAAGCTGATGCACGAAGGCTCAAAGATATCTATTGTGAGCTCTCTATTTCGGAGCTACAAAATCTCACTACCGCCGGCAGCGAGGATGAAGAGCAGCTCGTGGGTGAAGAAGAAATAATAGCTCAGATATTATTACAGAGGACCGGTCTTGAGGGCACAAAGGTTACAAAAGCATCCACAATATTTGAACTCGGTCTAGATTCGATCTCGGTTATCGAATTTGCTAATGAGTTGAAACGTGTCGGATTCGTAGGAGCTCATTCTATGCTCATACTACAGAGTACGTCACGAGATAATTCTGCTAACCAAAACTACAAAGGGCTAACACGTTATAGATCCTGCACTTGGTCAGCTTGTTAAAGCTTTGGCGTCAAAAGAAGGATCGGATACCACTTCCGATGAAGCTTCTCTCGTTTCCTCGCAAAGAATCAGGGCTTTTGCTCATAGGCATACATACACCGCCTGTGAGGCTCTCGGGCTCCCCCAGGATAGCGTTGAGAGTATTGCGCCATGTACTCCATTGCAGGAAGGAATGATCTACCGAGCGCTTGAAAGTGACAAGGGGCTCTATTTCGCTGCATTCCGCTATCATGTTAAAGAAAGCTTAAATTGGCCTGCCTTGAAGGAGGCTTGGACTCGAGTATTGGCCTACACGCAGATTCTACGCACAAAATTTGCCTTGACCGCGGATGGCTACGCCCAAGTAGCTCTAAAATCGATGGCCCTGCCTTGGCAAGAGGTATTCCTTCCCTCTTCCGAGGACATTGGTGCTGTTTCAAAGCAATATTATTCGGAATGGCACAGCAACAGCCGCAGCCTGGAGGAGCGCCCGTTCGAGCTTGTGATTTTCCGGTCGGGCTCTCAGACTTGGATGTGCATCCATATTTTCCACGCGCTGTATGATGGTATCAGTCTACCTATGATACTTGATAGAGTCCTGCAGGAATACAATGGAGAGGATGGCATTACTTACGGTCCTCCATTTCAACAAGTGCTGGCGCTTGGACCGCTCAAGGAGCCAGCCAAAGCTAAAGACTTCTGGACAAGACATCTGAAACTTTGCAAGTATCAGGAGTTGCCGCCAATCATCTCTCAACCCTCTGCAACCGACTCATTTGTCTCACGGGACTTTCTAGCTTCCAAGCAATTGGAAACGGTTAGAAGACGCTTGAATGTCACAGCACAATCCTTAATCCAAGCCTGCTGGGCCACTGTCCTTCAGCGAATATTTAATGCCAAAACCGTCACCTTCGGTCTCGTGGTTTCGGGACGATCAGCGGCTGAACAGCTTACCACTACAATAGGACCCTTATTCAACACTATCCCGTTCGCCGTTACGTTGGAAGAATCCGAAAGTGGAGCTAGCCTCGTTCAGAAATGCCATAAGCTGAACATGGAAGCTTTGCAATACCAGCATACCCCACTACGCAATATTGCCAAATGGTGCCAAAGAACGCCAGATCACCCTCTATTCAATACTTTGTTTGTTTTCCAAAAAGAAGTTGATTCTCCGACTGTGCAGCCTGAGTTATTATGGACTCCACTTGAGGATGAGTCGCAAGCTGATGTAAGGCCTTCCCTATAATATCAATTCTCCATTCTTAGCTAACCTCTATTTATTAGTATCCAATTGCTTTGGAAGCCCATCAGAAAGCCGATGGGGTTCTCCGGCTCACACTTTCTGCGCAAAAGGAAATATCGAACAATGACACATCGATACAACTTCTCATCGAATTGGATGCTGCCATAGCACGCCTCATCCATGACATGGATAGCACCGTTTCTCTTTCCCTTTCTAACGGCCATGCACCAGAGAGAGATGTCTCTGGGGAAAATACAACTCAAGAGGATAAAAATCTCCTCAATGGCTCCGCAGCAAACAATACCTTCCAATGGAGCCCCACTGCCGAGCATATCCGAGGAGAGATAGCCGATTTAGCTGGGGTAGAAGCAACAGATATTAATGAGCATTCCACCATATTCGAGCTTGGCCTTGATAGTATTGATGCCATCAAGCTTTCTTCTCGGCTGAAGCGAAAGGGACTTCATGTTTCCGTCGGCGATATTTTGAAGGCTCTTACAGTTCCAAAAATAACACAGAAGCTGTCCGGTGCGATAATCACAAATGGAACGGACAATGGAGCACTCAAGGTCAATGAATACCGAAGACTGCTCATGGAATATCTTTCCAGAAACCAGCGAAGCATTGAGGATATTGAAGATATTCTACCTATTACTCCTCTCCAGGAGGCAATGCTTGCGGATATGCTTACCACCGAGTTTTCCACGTATTTCAACCATGACGTTCTGGAAATTGCACCGACAGTGGACGTTCGCCGCCTTCGGAGCTCTTGCGCTGCCGTTGTCCAGAATTCTCCAATTCTTAGAACCGCGTTCCTGGAAATCGACGACCCTGCTATTCCGGGAACTTACGCACAAATGATACAAAGATCCTCGCCAAATCCTCGAACTTGTCAGATGGTCTCTCTTGACGAAGACGATACATTTGACAAGATATTTGAATTCATCAAACGGGATGTGATGAAGTGCATGCAGGATATTCCACCCTTCAGGATCACTGTAGTCACTGGAGCTGAGAAGAATTATCTTGTCCTGTCTCTTGCCCATGCCTTATATGATGGCTGGTCGATTGGTCTTCTTCATGAAGACATTCATAGGGCATACCACGAGAGTTATAACCCTCGGCCGCCTTACAACACACTTATTGAGGAGATAGTTGCAGCCTCCGGGGACGAGGCAGAGAAATTCTGGGCAAACGAGCTCTCCGGAGTGTCACCTACCTGCTTCGGTGAACAGGACAAGCCAATACGCGAACAAGGAGGACTGTCTCGTGACGAATGCACTGCATCTCTCGGTCTTGAGAAGGTACAATCATTTTGCAAACAGTTTGGAGTCAACCTGCAGGCGCTTGGTCTGACGTGTTGGTCCATTGTCCTCGGAAATCGTCTTCACAAATTAGACATAGTATTCGGTACAGTTCTTTCTGGTCGAAACAGTGAAGAAGCGCAGGAGATAATGTTCCCTGCCATGAATACTGTTCCGGTCCGTGTTGTGCTTCATGGAACAGGCAAGGAGATGGTCCAATATCTGCAGGAAACCAGTGCCAATATGATGCAGTATCAACATTTTCCATTGAGGCGTGCGCAGGCCCTTGCAAAGACCGACGGACGGAGATTGTTTGACAGTCTGTTCATTTATCAGAAAGGCTTTGCCGCTGGAATTAATGATGGGACGCTCTATCATTCTGTCAATAGCTTCTCGAATACTGAGGTAAGATCTAGTCCTTATTTTGATTAGCTCTGCATTTTTTTAATACTGATTCTTTTCTTATGACAGTATCCCGTCTGCGTCGAAATGGAGGCGTCAGAGGGTGATCTAGTTTGGCGAGCAGCGTGCCAAGGGAACTCTTTTGATGCAGCGTCCACGCGCGAACTTTTGCAAGACCTAGACCAAGCGCTCTTCTCGATCATCTCAGATCCGGATTCTTCCATTCTAGATGTCCAGCAGAACAAAGTCACTCTCTGTGGGCTCTCTCCGTTTACCATTGATGACTTTACTGCCGATCCTCGGCCGGGAAGCTCACCGGCTTTACTCAAGCAGCCTACCAAGAATACTCACTGGTCTCCAACTGAGATGACTGTTCGAGAGGTTCTTGCCAGTGTCGCCAGAATTCCATCCCAGGAGATTTCCAAGGATACCACAATATTTCATTTGGGTCTCGACTCGATCAGTGCGATCAAATTGGCATCCCAATTGAAAAAACATGCCCTGAGAATCAAGGTTGGAGATATACTGAAAGCGGGTACTGTCGAAGGTATAGCGCGTCTTGCTGGGTCAGAGGGCGCTCCAGATCTTCAATTTGACGCAGGCGCCGTTTTGCTGAGAGCGGTTGGGGACGTTCGAGGTCAAGAGGTCGTTGCAGATTTTGGTTTCCAACAGGATAACATCGAACGAATTGCTCCGGCAACACCAGGACAAAGTTATTTCCTTACTTCCTGGCAGAATACAAGAGGTTCGCTGTTCTATGCAACCTTCAGTTATATAATTCGGAAAGACTTGAGCGCATGTCGGTTGGAGGAGGCTTGGCAAACTTTGGTTGATCGCTCGGCACTCTTGCGTTCAACTTTCGTCTCAAGCGGCTCCACCCGTGCTCCTTTCCTGCAGATCACCTTTAAGTCATACAAGAACAGCATTGTGTGGGTTCCAGCTAGCGATAAGGGCATCTTCGAAACGCACAGGAAGGTCGACTTTAAACTTCCTCCCGTCACATTATTTGCTTACAAGGATGATAATAGAGTCATACTAAACCTTCAGATTCACCACGCTCTATATGATGGTGTCAGTCTACCAGCGCTCCTTCGCAGTCTTGAGGTTCTATGTAATAATGTCCACGCTGCGGTTGACCTTCAAGCTGATATGGACGACTCTATCGCTTTCTTCTACCTTGAGGAAGCTCAAGTCAAACGACGCGAGTTCTGGGCAAATTATTTGACCGAACAAAACCCCCGCCTCTCTATAACGAAGCCGCTTGAAGCCCCTCATAGGACTCAGGTGTTCTGTCCGAATGTTATCTCAAAGGTCCATATCTTGGAAAGCTTGGTCAGAGAAAACGGGCTGAGCATTCAGGCTCTCTTCCTGGCTGTCTATGCGAGGGTCTATGCTGGCCTGGTTCAGCATTCTCAACCTGGTGAACCTGCTCAAGTAGTGTTCGGAATGTACCTTGCGAACAGGTCCCACTGGCTCGAGAAGACTTCGAACAATGGAGCACCCACGGTCAATTTCGTGCCCCTGCGTGTTTCTCATCCATTAGATGGATCCATAATGGCAATGGCACAACAGGTGCATAAAGACCTTCAAAATGTTGGCAGTCTCGAGAACTCTGCTGTCTCTCTGTGGGAAATTTTTGAATGGACAGGTGTTAAAATTGACAGCTTTGTCAACTTCCTGAAGCTACCCGGTGCAGACGACATAAACGGAGTTGAGCCGGACACAGCAAAAGCTGGCATTTCCATTGAAGAATGCATCCCATCTTGGAGCGGTGGTACAAAGACTGTTGTCAGGGATAATGTGGAAAGATTCACAGACCCTTTGTTGCTGAAGAACAATCCTGTCAAGGAAGTCCTTCCGGTATGTTCAACTCGCGTGAAGGCATTACGAAGAGTTTGCTAACAACGAGATTCAGCCTGCAATAGATATTGAAGCCTCGATCACTGCGGATTCCCTGGATGTTGGAATATTTGGCTCAACTGAGCTTGTCGATATAGATGAAGCTGAATCTGCGATAAAGCAGATTGGTAACATACTCAAAGCGGTTCAGGATACTGGTGATCATAACATGGTATAGATTTTTGGATAGATCATGTTTTTTTTTCTTGTTTTTACTTTTTTATTTCTAGTTTTTGGATTTTCTCCTGTAAATACATTTCTGTAGAGTATATCGTTGTTACTATTATAGACTTAGGCGCTTTCTTCAATATAACTATAGATACTTGGATGCTTTTGAGAATGCCAACGGTTCGAAAAGAGAAATAGAAATGCGATATCATGTGAACAAAAAATATGAAAATTCTTGAGGCTATTAATTTCATGCTCGACATGAAACTTTTGGAAGGGAAAAAAAAATAGCAAAAAAGTTGGACGGATGGGTGATCGAAACCCAGACCTCCCGCATGCAAAGCGGGCGCTCTACCACTGAGCTATACGCCCAATTGTTGTTGAAATAGACTAGTTCTACAAAATATATGTACCTTATACATTTTGGGAATAGCGGCAAGGTAACGCGACTTTATAATAGGAAGCTTGTTTGAGCTTAAGCACCGCTACTCACTCTGACCGTTCCTCTGTCGTGAGCAATGGGTGGCAGTCAATGGAAGCAGAAGGGGGCTGTTGCTCTCTTTCTTTTCCTTTGTTTCATCCAGTGCTCTTTTGCTTCAACTGGCGATAGGCTCCCTGAATTTAAAGAATGCGTACAAGTAAGCCAACTAGCCGTTTCACAACTTTGTCGTCGTCATTTGGTACGATACAGAGGCTAAATTGGTGTTGACAACAGATATGTGAACGACAAAATTGTAACGCTGGATTTTCTCTACGTGCGTGAGAACGTTGATCCCTTTCATACCACATTTTATGCCAATTCTAATTAATCATTTCTTGTTTTGATTCAGCGCTCCATCTCCGATTGCTTCTCTGGACCTGCCCGGCCGAATGCGATTACACCTGCCAGCATATCATCACTGACCTCCGACTGACTGCTGAGCCTCCGATCGCGAATCCTGTCGTGCAATATCATGGGAAATGGCCATTCTACCGATTCTTGGGCATGCAGGAGCCCTTTTCGGTGCTCTTCTCCGCGCTGAATTTACTCGCTCATTACCAGGGAATATCGAAGATTCGTGGAGTGATACCAGACCAGTACCCGCTACGGAAGTATTATTTTACATTGGGATATTTTGGCATAGCAAGCTGGGTCTTTAGCATGATCTTTCATACTCGCGACTTCGATGTAACGGAGAAGGCGGATTATTTTGCCGCGGGCGCAAGCGTGCTCTACGGACTGTATTATACCCTGATTCGAATTTTCCGACTCGACCAGAACACACCGTCCAAACAGACGGTTTTGAGGTGGTGGACTCTCTTTTGTCTCTCTCTTTACGCGGCGCATGTTGGCTATCTCACGCTGTGGCGATGGGACTACACTTACAACATGGCTGCGAACGTGGTTGTTGGGGTGATTACGAATATCCTGTGGAGTGTCTTTAGCATCAAACGTTACCAGCGCCTCAAGAAACCATGGGCTGCCTGGCCTGGTCTCATTGTCGCATGGGTCATACTTGCTATGAGCCTGGAGTTGTTGGATTTCCCGCCATTCTTGGGGATGATTGATGCCCACAGCCTCTGGCATCTTGGGACAGTGTTGCCTACGATCTGGTGGTACAAGTAAGTGTTAAAATGACTGCAGGTGTGGCGCTTACGTTGCTGACGTTTACATTTAAAAAGTTTTCTAGTCAAAGATGCACAACAAGACCTGGAAGGGGTGAGATTAAAAGCTTAGATCAGCATCGCTACAGCGTCATAGAGGAAGCAATTAAGCAAGACATTAGAATCATCAGATTATTCCACAAAGCATGACATTCATTTCCTTTTCAAATGTACAAAGTAATCAGTCACCATTGATATAGGCACCTCGAAAAGGAGACCGTCACACGGTGCAGAAGAGCAAGGCTTGTGGTCATGGGGGGAGATCTGACAAGTTTATTGTAGCTATAATCTGACACCTAGAGCTAGTGTGCTAGACAAGTAAATGATAACGGGCCAGGGACGGGCATCGGAGCAACACGAAGGGCCGATGATTGAACGAAATGCTCGGTAAATGATTGGCCAGGTTTTTTAACTGGGGAAACCTCTTTTACTCGTAGTGTCTTCTGTCCCTTTCTGGGGATTTCACTTGAACCGGCGGCCGCTTGAAGTGGAATTTCATGTTTATTCGTCTTTTTTTTTCTTTTCCTTCTGTTGGCTGTGCCTTACTTCTTCCTCCTCCTAGTCTTCCACCAAACAACAACTCGAACCGCCCCCGGCCCCCTTTTGAACTTGCACGGTCCCTTGTGTGCTAGGGGATGATGACGATGCGGTTGCTTGCCACACCGAAGAATTAGCTGTTTCTCTTCCCACCCCCCTCCATCTTTGACCCGAATTGATCACAATGGGTCCCTATATCATGAATGCATGTTCCATGCGTTCCCTCCGTCTCCTCCTCCGCCGAACTCTCTCCTCTCGATCCTCAACAGGTCGATCCGCCAGAACTCTCCACACCTCAAGCACCATGTCGAGCTCCATTACCTCTGCTCTGGCGTATGCGACGACAGTCTCTACTCCCGCAATTGCAAGCTCGATTCCAGAAGAAGCTGCGAAAAAAGTACATCATGCCAAGGACGGCAAGGGCTTCATCAATCCAGTACGCCTTTTTCTTCCCATAGCCCGCGAAACGCTTCAAATAGTTTCAATGCCCCTGATATGGCGCAATTAGAAAACTAACTTTGTTGTTCTCCACAGTGGGCAAGTTATCGTGAAATGAGCGTGTCGCAAATCCTTCGAGGTTTAATATGGTATGTTGCCGAGCGTCACAGTTGACTGCAAAATCAACTCCAGCCTACACAGCTGTACATTTGGAAATTCTGACTTGGGTGTTTTTTCCTCCTCTTAAGGCGGCATCTAAGCGGCAAAGCCAACAATCCCGACACGACTCCGCCGACGGTGAATGTGCGAAAACCCGAATTTCTGCCATCCCGGCAGCCACGGGAGCAGCAGGCTCCTAGTCTGCGCGCGACATGGCTCGGACACGCATGCTTCTATGTCGAATTCCCCAGCGGCTTCCGCGTCCTCTTCGATCCTGTTTTTACAGCACGATGCTCTCCCTTTTCCTTCTTTGGGCCGAAACGCTACACCGACGTGCCTTGTCAGATTGAGGACATCCCTACCATCGACGCCGTTGTAATCTCTCACAACCACTACGACCATTTATCCCACCCTACCATCATGAAGATCAAGGAGCTGCATCCTAACGTGCACTTCTTCGCGCCGCTCGGCAACAAAAAGTGGTTCCTAGACTGCGGTATTACCAACGTTACCGAGCTCGACTGGTGGGAATCGCGGGACATTAGCCTCTCAGCTGTACCATCCAAAGATCAGTCAACGACGGCCAAACCCGCAGTCACCAATCCATTCTCTGACTCCCAGGGTACTTCCGCCCCTCCTCCGTCCGACATCAAAGCCACAGTTGGCTGCCTGCCCTGCCAACATACCAGTGCGCGCACACCTTTCGACAAGGCGCACACGCTGTGGTGCTCGTGGAGCGTCGAGAGCGGCGGCGCCAGAGTCTACTTTGGCGGCGACACCGGCTACCGGACTGTCCCCGAGCTGCCCAAGCATGAGGACGATTATGGTCACGAACACGCCGACCTGCCGCACTGCCCCGCCTTTAAACAGATTGGTGAATTGCGCGGCCCTTTTGATCTCGGCCTTATCCCCATTGGCGCCTACGAACCGCGATACATCATGTCGCCCATGCACGCAGACCCGGCTGACGCCGTCAACATTTTCCGCGACACCAAATGCCGCTCTGCGCTCGGCATCCATTGGGGCACCTGGGTCCTCACCGAAGAAGATGTCCTCGAACCGCCGCGCCGTCTTCGCAAAGCCCTGGCTTCGCATAATCTCCCTGAGACCGGTGTCTTTGACGTCTGCGAAATTGGCGAGAGTCGAGAAATCAGTCTTGGCAAAGTCAATTCCTGATGACTTACTTCCTTCTTTCACCTTCCACCTCTACTTTCTCCTCTGTCTTTGGACCGAACTCCTTTTGACACCTCGAAATCCTCCTCCCTGTTCCTCTTCTTGAATAAATATATATTCTCCCCTTTCCACTTTTCGTGTGCCAAAGCACATCTGCATCCCCTAAACTCGGATAGCAGCCCCCAGTCCACTTACCGGGGCAAAACCAAATCCCATCTCCCTGTATTCCCTCCATTTTCTTTCTGCATGCATTTAGAATAAGAGTATAAGAGTATTATAGAAAAGCGCTACCTTTTTTCTCCCTTTTTTATCTCCTTTTTTCCCCTTGTTTTTCTGTTTCCTTTTTTTCCATCTCCGCAGCATAGTTACTCCTTTTCACTTTTTTTATTCCTATGCAATTTTCTTACCGCGCTTAGCGTCTCTTCATCAAGCTATGAAAGTCAGCAAGTTAGCAAGTTAGCAAAGTCAGCCGTCCGTCCCGCGCAGTGGTAGATAGGGTGGTGGTTTGTACATTTCATCTTCGTCTTCTTGTTAATATCCATATAGAACCTTTATCTTTCTTCTTTTGTTTTTTCTCTTTATCTTTCTTTCTTTTTTTTTTCTTCTTTTTATAACTTCGTCATTGTACATTACACATAGATACTTTTTTCATTGTCGCCTTACTTCTCGTTGAATACGGTTAGAAAAATTGCATTATCTGCAAGACGAATATAAAACAGCATAACGTACATTACATTACATTGAGAGTCTATTACTTGTCTGCAATCTTGAATCAATCATAATATATCAAATACCTAAGGTAAATATAGAAAGTAGTCGCATAAGTTACACTACTACAGATGACTTTCAAACGTCCAATAACTTACTTGGTATAATCATGCAGCAACCAGCAGAGTCACGTTGAAAAAGCGAAAGGGAAATTTTCGGCGGAAGGGTTGAAATGGCTGATATGGTTGAAATGAATCTGTTTGCATATAATTATACGCTGAATCTATGTCCGGGAAAACAAGAAAACAAACAAACAAACAAAAAAACTCCTTTTCTCACTCGCGTGAGGTGCCGTTATGTCTTCCCCCGAATCAATGCAGTCTTTGTGGAATCCTGTTTTTCTCAATCACCATTGAGCGCCGGTAGCCGTGTCCAAGGGGGAATGCCTTGGCGGTAAGATGAGAAAAAATACAAGATGAAGTTTGAGAAAAAGAAAGAAAGAAAGAAAGAAAGAAAAGAAAAGAAAAGAAAAGAAAAGAAAAGAAAAGAAAAGAAAAGAAAAGAAAAGAAAAGAAAAGAAAAGAAAAAAGAAAAAGGAAAGAGACGAAAAAAAATTGTTGCATCTCTATGCTCGCGTGACGGAGATACACGCTGATAATACAAATGACATTTAAACTAAAAACCCATCATCGTCAAAAGTCGGCGCAGAGTCTTCGTCATCGCTAAGCGCGAGATCTCTTCTTCTAGACGTGAGGAGCTTGCGTTTACCCTGTTTCTTTTTCAACGTGGGGATGCGCTTCGGGGCGGGGGACTTGAGATGCATGGTCGGGGCGCCGACGAGACTAGTGCGCTGGAAGGAAGAGGAGGAATCGAGATGATGATCGAGGTCCATTTCGTCGGTCTCAAAAGGGAGAGAAGTATCGATTTGGGGTGCGTGTTTTTTTGGCGAACGGATTTTCTTGGGAGTGGCGGCGTTGCTGCTCAGACTGAATGGCTGAGGAATGCCAGATGTTTGAGGAGCACCGCCGGGAGGAGTAACATTTTTCCTGGGGCTCTTTTTGGTTGGGGTCAAGCTCATTTGAACCATATCGTCGTTCATGCTGTTCTCGATATCGATATCAGAGTCAGGATGTGATATCTTGATGTTGGTCTTGTTGGTATTGCTGCCAGCGTTGAGATCACGAGGCGCAGACTCGGTCAACGGCGAGGAGAATAATGGTGACGAAGGGACCGGGAGCGCAGAAGTCAAGTGTTTATTTTTGGGTTTGGGTTTGCGCGTTGGTGATTGACTGCCAAGTTTTCGCTCCGCTGCATCTAGCTTTCTTCGCAGAATGGCATTTTCTGCTTCGAGTTCATTGACGAGATCTTCAGCTGATGGGGAGGGATCTTCATGGACTGTGGGAAGAAACTTTATCAGCATGGAAACATTTGCTGGATACTATAAAAGCGATGCTTACTTTTAATGGACTGTGTCACGAGTTCAATCTTCTTATCCATGTGCTCATCACAACGATCGGCCTACTTTGGAGTCAGCGTCATCCGTTTCATATGCGCGGAGAGGTTAGAAAAAAGAGGCATTATGACAGGGAAAGGGAAAGATAATACCTCTTCTTCCCAAGCTCGTTTCCATTTTCTTTGCTCTTCTTCAAACTTCAGATCCATTTCCAACGAACACGCTTCACGAACGTCCTGCTCAATTTGAAGACATTTTTCTTCCGCGGCTTCCCATGCAATCTCGGCTTGTTGACGACGGAGCATTTCATTAGAGAGTTCGGTTTTCAAATTTTCGACATCTGTTTTCAGCTTCTCAATCTCTTGCATTGCAATCTCAAGTTCCTCCATGGATACAGAAGGCGTGTCCCGACCATTGCTCAGCTGATTTCTTTTATGGCATCCTGCTAGAATGGTGTTGGATATTGAAGGAATTCGGGGAACAGTGACCTCTCGAGCCAACGCAGAGTAGCGCAGAATTTGCGAAGTTGCATTAAAATCGCCGACAGGATCAGCTGTCACCATCATGATAGCTTTCTGAGCATTCCGACGAGGCATAACGGGATGATGAGAAGTAGAGGGCGTTGATGGAAACGAATTCGAGAAGAGGAGTTCCGTAAGCTTGCACTGCCTAAATGGTACCACGGCATTCTGCAAATCGTCAACACGCGATGGAAGAAGAACAAGCATCTTTTTTGAACGCACCTTGCCACCCTCCTGTGCACCACTTTGCATCTGTAGGCACTGGCCAAGATACATTAGGCTTTCATTGATTTTTCCTGCCTCGGCAAGCGTTGAACCTGATGTCTTTGCGTTCCTTGCTCTTTCAGATCCTGAATTTTGCAAAAGCATAAGTCACTTCGAGCTCATAAAAGACCTGCATGATCGTCACTTACCTGCCAGGTCCACCAGTGTTAGCGTGGCTCCTGTCCATGGCTCACTCGACCCCTTGACTCTCTTTTTCACCTCGAGACAGAAGAATCCATGGCTTCTTGAGCTCACTGAGTTGCTGTTCGTTCCGGACACCTTTCGTTCACAAAGTCCAGTCTCCAAAACCATCAGCGCCTCATTGATATCACCGCATATAATCTTCCTGAGCCCTGTAACAACCTTGCGATCAGGGGACAATTCAGTCGGCTTAAACATCAACGGACGACGTCGCAAATCTTTCTGAGATGCTAGCCTCGTAATTGGCGCAGCCGAAGGATGGTCGCCAAGTAAGTCGAAAATTCGATCGTTATAGACCTCGTACATAGAAATAAGAATCGCATACTCGAAATTTGCCTCGGCTTGTAAAGTAAAATCGCTCGTTTCCGGGGCTTGAGGGAGAGCTGAAACTCGCAGAGGTATAGTCCGCTTCGACGGGGAACTAGGTACTTGCCCTTCCTTAAAATTCCGAGTTTTTAGCTTGTTGATGCTACCGGGAGAACACTGTTTGCTGAAGAAATGGAATGGGGGTTTGCATACGCCTTTTCCTCGGGGAGATTTCCCGGTACTTAGTCCCAGTAAGGGTGGATATAATCCGATAGACGAAGGATGAAGCGGATGATCTGCGGGCCATAGTCTTGGTGTCGGTGCTCTTGGTCCGCCGTAAGCCGGCGTTCCTGATCTTGAAACTCCAAAGGAAGGTGTTCCCGCTCTCGAACTTCCTCCGTCAAATTGTCCTTCTCCCAGGCCAGGTTCGAAGAAAAGTTCCGCAGACGCAACATGGCTCTCGGCCGGATCAGACTCGGCGATAGAAAGAAAGTCGGTTGTGTTCTCTATAGCACGAACAATGTTTCCATCAAGAGATCGAAAAATGGTATCTAACGTGAGCTGTGTGAGGCCTCTTTGTTCCTTTGAACCCAATAATGTATAACTCTATCTGCTTCAGTTCTCCGACCTTCATGTCTAAATACGAAAAGGAGTCAAACCTTTCCAGAGCCCGTAACCCCCAGTGTAGCAAACAGTCCATCTCTACCTGTCCCTGTTTCCTTGCCCAACAGGCCGTCTATCAGAGAAATCAAGCCCGTTCCTTCCAATAGGTCCAGCTGAGTTGCATCTTCCTCAAAGACTCTAGTAAATCCGAACTTTTCTACAGCCTTCTTCCGCGACTCGACCGGGGGCGTAATGGTGATATGCGTAGGAAAAGACTTTTCGCTCAGACATCCCTCATCTTCCACAATAATGAACTTTCCCGATTTGGCGGATCCCGAGTCCGCGGCTGTCAGAGCCGTGGAGTGCGGCGCGCCTGGAGGAGGACGCAGGCGCAGGTAAACCTGGAAAAGTGACGTCGAAGAGGGCCTTGCGGGTGGCTCCATGATTCTCCGATACTGAAATCAGAGCTTGAGATGATGGGTCCTTGCGAGGATGCTGAGTTCACTCAATCATGCCGGCAACATGACGATTCCACCTCAGCTTGGTGTTTGAATGCGGGGTTGCTGGGGCAACGAGACGTTCTCGCCTAAGTCATGCCTGCCGTCCCTCGGTGTAATCCTACCAGGCTTCCAACGGCACTCCATAAATGAGGAGAAATGATCAAACAAATAACTACTACGAAAGACTTCTCAGAGGTTCATTATTTGTTCGATTCTGAATAAGTTCGTGATTCTTCGAAAATTTTGGCGGATAGTTCCATAATTTCTTCGATCAAAAATACATGGCGCAGACTGATTATCAGTCACACTCTACTCCGATAAATGACAAAACAAGGCCACCGAACACCAAGGTTACAGCTTTTGGAATATCAAACGCATGAAAAATTGTTTAGTTCAAACCCTTGCCCTCTTGTCCTTTATTTCCCCTTTTCCCCATCTAATGCTCGGATTTGCCATTTTCCCGAATCCAACGCCTGAAATGCAATCAAAAGAGTAGGAGCCGCCAATGACATCCAAATCCTATTCGCCGGTGGTCATTTCATCTTGTCCAGTTTCATCGTCGCCTTCTTCTTCGCCCAGCTCGTCAACTCTGTTTCCACTTCGTGTGCCGAGGTTCGGGAACATGGGCTCGGCAATTTTGTCTTCCTCCACGTCGCTAAGCTCACTCTCATCGTCTGCGCTGTCATGAACACTCCCAGGTACGCTGCTGACAGCACCTTGAGCATTATCATCCTTGGAAAGGTCTTCTTTGTCTTCTTCCACCTCTGGCACCGTCTGTTGAGGAGCCGATGTGGCAGATTTAGATGTCCTAGCTGCAGTAGAAAATGCCGCCGCAACAGCTGCATCCGCTTTTCTTTGAATCTCTCTTCTACCTACACCTTTAACACGTGGCTTGGGCCCGGTCTCTTGTTGCGCCGCTGTTGATCTCGCCTGCTCTGAGGATTCGTCTGCACTCATGAGGAGGTTGTTCAAACTCATCATATCCTTTCTTTCAGAGTCCTGACTGCCGTTGGTCGTCGGTGGTGCCAACTGAGGCATCACGGTTCCATATAAGACGGCATAAGTATCTGCAACGAGATCGTCAAAGACTACTGGTTTCATCATGCCGCTGTTCAGCTTTTTCAGCTCCATTGCATCGCGTAAGGTGTTGAGAGTTGAGTTATGGTAGTTTGATTTGCACCACGTCTCTAATCGGGCAGCAGCAGTTTGAAATTCTTCATGGGTGATATTTTTAAATACTGACTCCTCGTGGTTTTCTGGAATCTCGCCAAGGCGGCGTAGCAGCTTCAGACGACTTAGCAATTTTTCTCACTAGTTAGCCGAGGAAACTGACCTGCATATAAGACGAGCAAACGTCCTGCCATAGCTTTGTATGGTCGATATATTCTGAAGTCCTCTTTCTAAGACGCTTTACAATTGCTTCCAAGCTTGAGCGATCCTCAAGATCGACCAGAATCTGAGAGAAGGTTCTGATATATCTTGACGTGTATACGAAATGTCTACCCACTCTTTCATATTCGGGCTTCCAGACTTGAAGCGCCATAGTTTTAGTGAAAATGTGCTGTGTGAATTCCTCCTTGGCGAGACGAGCTGCACTCTCTTTAGAGGCCACTGCATCATCTAAATTGATCTGGGCAGCCTGTGTGTTTGATAAGCGATTTGTGCTAGTTTACTCGAGAGCAAAGAACATACCCTTGCAACCATACGGTGATGCCAGTTAGCTTTGTCCGCAGTTCGAAGGACCTTCAAGATGCGTAAGATAAAAGGAACCCAGTCGGTCTTTTCCGTGAGTGGTGCTGCTTTGGCAGCGTACGGAGTGGCATTGAGGAATTCTTGTCCTTGATCGGGCTGTCTCTAAGTCAGTGCATCCGCAATATGAAAGATTCGGATTATCTCAAAGAAAAATACCTCAAGCGTTCCTCTAGTAACGAGTTTGTGGACGATTGAGACAAGCTTATAGTGTGGCTCAAATATAGGATCTTGTCTGCTGTCCTTCCGTTCAGGAACACAGTCGATGGAATGAATGATCGTATCGATGACTTCATGCGCATCAATTTGGATCTCTTCTGGAAACTCAAGGTATTCAAACGAATGCATCTTCCAAAGGCATTTCGCCAACATGTAATGATTCCTTGTTGCACAATTAGTAAAGAGACCGAAGGGCAGACCAAGAGCTTAACAACGTACATCCAATTGTTTGGCTTCTCCACGAGAGCTCGGCGAAATAGGAAACTTGCAAACTTCCAAGTAGCATATTTAGAGAGTCCACGGAAAGCAGATTCCTTGTACATGCCTTCCAGACCAGTGAAAAACCTGTCTTGCAGGATGGCGAATGCTTCCATATTGAATGGCGGCCGAGAAGAAGCATACATACGGATACCGAAATCGGTGTACAAGTCAGACAGCTTGCTAGCTGTTTCAAATGACGAGTCAGCATATTTGATTGCTGTTGCAAGCGCCATTGAATAGCAATGTATAGAACTTCTTTGGAGCATCACAAGTTCACGGCTACTGTTGTTAATCTTCTCCGCAGACCACATGACATCTTCGTCAATCTTCAAATCATAGACTTGGGCGAGTCGATACCAAGTTTCCCAATTATTCCTGTTGAACTCGAGATCCTGTTTGAAGAGAAGACGAGCACTATCGAGCTCATCCGTAGGCGTCTGAGTGACCCGTTTTACGGAACGGAATCGAGAAAGGGCTAGATGGCCAAGAAGAAAGTACCATCCTTTCTCCGCGACGCGGGCGTGTTTTGGCGGCACAGGAACCATAGATAGATCACCAATCCCTTTGATAGAGCGGTAAAGCTGCACAGGATTGATTGGCGACTTCAAGTAGGAGCCCAAAACACGTCGGTTGTGTGAAGTCATCAAATTATGCCTGTCGATGCCAATGACCTGATGCATTTTATCAATGGCGGGCTTGAGCTCCGTTTTCGGCAGGTCCTTGATTGCAATGTCTCTGACTTGGGACATTACCAGATCCATTATCTGTATCGCGGTATCTCGACTTAAAGGCTCGGGCGAAGTCCCATGTTCCTGCAGATCTACTGGATTGGGGCACAATTTGAGACCATGTATATCATATATGACCTGACCCAAGTCACCTTCCCATCCGTCTGACTTCGATATTTTCAGCAACTCATTTTTCATGAAGGTCGGGAAAGCTTTGCGGGCAGTTTCGCAGAGTGATCGGAGACCGAGCGAATAATGCATTGTGCGTAAACAGTCGTATAAATCTTCTGCTCCGTTCGGAAACAGCTCTTGGGTTTGCGATATCCCCTCCTTTAGCAAACAATATTCAACTATCCATCCTCGTACGTACAATTCTCGGAGTTTGTTCATAAGGAGATTAAAGGATTTGATTGAAAGTTGGTGCTGGGTATGAAACGGCTGCGCTACTCCAATTCGTATGAGATCGTCCTGCAAGGTAAAGCTATGGAGCAGTCTCAAGAGCTTGGCGATGGCATGCATCGCAGATCGACCATGGGGCAGGATGAAACAGTCAAATGCTGTTGGTTCCTTGTCTAAAAGATCCAGCGTCTTCGACAAGAGGTCGTCTAATGCGCGAATCCATTTCAACAAGATGAAGAATCGCTCGTCCAGCGAGCTCTCAAGATACGCGGGTTTCTGGAACTCGTTCATGATGATAGTTATGCTCTGAAGGTAACAGATTAAAACTTTCGGGGAATAAGAAATCGTCTCGTAAGCCTCCTGCAGTCGACGCCAAAGAAGCAGCCTCAAGGATGCACTTCCGCGATCTAGGAAATTAGACATTTCTGCCAACAATGAGCCTTGCTCTGGTGACTGTTGGCGTGAAATATTTTCGGGAGACACGTTCTCATGGCTCGCAGACCTAGCCACGTCTGCAGAGGCTGGGGCGTGATCATATTCATAATTTCCTGGGTCGAGCACGGGCTCCAGGCTCTCGATGACTGCCACAGGATCGGTAGTATCGGCGTCAAAAATATGGAAGAAATAGTCCATAGTTGTGAGTCGAGAAATTTCACGATCCGCATCAGCAACGGATATTTCCGGCATCAATGCGTTATTCTGAAGCTGAATGGCACACTTATTACCCGCTTCTAGAAGGTGTTTCAAGTCCTCCAAGCAGATGAGTATATGTTCACGGGAAACATCTTCTGATTGATTTGCACAGAAGGTCGAAGCCCAAAGGAAACGGATGGATAGGTCATCGGTTTCAACAGCTAGTGGTGAATTAGCAGAACGCAAATGCATTGCACGACTGGCGATTCCAGCCCATTTGTCCAGTCGATCCTTTTGAAGGATTCGAGTTAATTTATCAACTTCGCTACTTGGATTGGTGATGCTAGCGTAAATGTCGAGATGCAACTCAAAGAGAGTCTGAACTATTTCGACAGCGGCGTGATCGCTGGCGGTAAACGTATATTTGACGCTGTCGGCAATACTCTGTAGGATACGATTCTCCAAGGAAGACAGCTCTTCCAGTACTCGCGACTCAACGTAGTCGTCCAAGCTCACGATAATTTGGACCACCACTTCCTTGAGCGCATCTGGCCAGACGGAGCACAGATAAGTAGATTCCGACGTATTTGTTACACCGTTCAAGAGGGTACCGCCATTACTCCTTACGAGGCATTGAAGCCACTCAAATGCGACTTCCTTGATATGCGACCAAGTTTGGTTGACCTGTCTTGCAAACGCCAGTACGTCATGACCGTCGGAGATTAGAGGTTTAACGGAAGCTTTGCGATTAGAGCCCTTGGCATGCTCCATAAAAGCTGTCAAACCAGGATTACGAGAACCTCCAGAGATATCGTCTGGATCGTCAGCGTAGACGAATGCATTTCCTTTTGCTTCATCCCATCCTTTCAGTAAGGCAAGCAGATCCGCTGCAGTAGTGCGTTCCCAAGAGGGGCGGTCTTCTGTTTGGAGTGCGTCTTTCAGACTCTGCGAGTCTCCTAGAGACTCTACTTCAAGGCGCCGAAGAAGACTCCCGATCGTTTCAAACATCCAATGGTCAGCGTGTGCCAGTTCATTTAATTGGCTTTCATGCTGTTTGGCCAATTCGGAGACGTCGGCATCTTCACCAACCGTTCCTTCGGCGACAGACTCGCGAGCTCGCAATCGCTTACTCCTCAGACGCCCACCGTCAGCAGACTCGGCCATGCCAGCAGCATCCGACGACCGCTTTCTGACAGGGAGAATATTAGTAGTGGGGTTGCTCAAGGTTTGCTGACCGGATGCTTCTTTTGTCTCTGCCTCGGGGCTCGCCTGCTGTGAAGGAGATTTGGTGATCTTTTCATCCATGGTAGGATCATCCTTCATCGATGACATGTGCTGAGCGGACTTGGATCGTGTCCTTTCCCTCTCATGGACTTCGTCTGCCGCCGCGATTTCTTTCTGCAGTTGAGCGGCGACTCCATCTGTATCATCTTCACGGGTACTTTCGTTTTCGATTGGCTCTTCGGCACCAGGAATACTAAATTTAATTCCTGCACCTGGGCCTGGCTCTAGGATGCCATGCTGCTCTGCAGCAAGGTGTTGAAGAATGGCTTTTCCGACAGCTGCCCACGTCGCCAACATAGGCTTCAAAGTGTAGAGCTTGGGGGCACGGCCAAGGGGGCTGGAGTCGAAGTGGTCTTTCATGTAGTCTTCTGATCCAGAAGGAAGGTAAGGATACGGATCCATATACTTTCTGAGTGTTGTAATTATACGTTTGGCGTCCAATTCCACAATAGGGGAGAGCTTGAACGACAAGGTATCAAAAATATTCCGCAACAGCTACAGAGGGATGATTTTAGTACGCTGGAGCTCTGACCACAATGTGTAGCCAAGACTTACCTCCTTGAGCTGCTCACCAGCGAATCCTTCCTCTGGATGCACTGGCATCTTTGCATCCTCGAAGTCCCCGTCATCACCTTCCAAAACGGTCTCCAAGCAATACCGTTCAATGCGACGGCTACCCAGTACGTCTCCAACGCGTGCCGTACGACGCCATAGCTCAATGTCGCTGTCATCTCTCTCCAGGGCCTCTGCAAAATATTCAAGTGTCTTCAAAGCTGAAGTCGAGATATCGCCTCTCAGTTTTTCCGCTTCTGGTCCTGATTCGCCGCCTTGTGCCTTTGCATTCGCAATATGATATTTCAGATAATCGAGCACAAACTGGCCATGGTTTTTAAACGATAAGAACAGAATGTGCGGTAACGTGCTAGGAGCAGCCCCGTCTTCAAGGTGTGGAAGCGCAAGCGGCGCGGACTCCACAACACGAGAATCAGCTTCTTCCCCGACCAAGGTACCGTGGAGCTCATGTCGCTGAGCTTCGGAGAGAGATTCGGGATATTTGAAGATTTCTGAACGAAAAAGAGCGAGATAGGCTTCTGATGCTTCAGGGAAATACTCTGGTCCTTGGGAATGAAGCTTGAGGGCGGTTTGATAAAGCTTTAAAGCTTCCTCGACCTAGGAGAATGGTTTTTAGTCCTTGTATGAATTTGCGGCGGAAAAACCACCAAACCACTAACCTGTATTTCTTTGGTGTCATCAATTTCAATATCACTATCATCGTCAGGTTCGATATTCAATGCCGCGAAGGAAGACTAGGTTCAAGAATTAGACGCTGTTCAGCACTGTAGATGTATGAGATGCATGCCATTCTCCCGTTTCAAAGCGGTCAGGGATGCCTTCGTATCTATAGATGGCGCTTCTGCCCTTATTGTTGACCTCAGCTGAAGCTCTTCCTGCATTCAAGACGAGCCATGCCTTTGTCGGCTGCCGCAAGTGTAGAGAATAATGGCGGGACCGTATTAAAGTTGAACTATCTCGGCAATGATCCTCTACAGCGTTGACGTGCAGCGCGACGTGAACCCACCTTACTCTCGCTCGCTAAGCTATTGGTGAGGGAGACCTGGAGTATTAGTCTTGCCGCCTAAATTAGCGGGGCGTCTAGGGAAACTGCCAGATAGTCCCTTGCTGTTTCTTCTCCGAGACCTCGCTAGAGCTCCAGTGCAGTCAAATACGCTTGCGGCGAGGTAGGACTACCGTAAGGCACGCGTGTCCTTAGATTCTTCAGCGACCAATATGGAGTATTAAGGACCGGGCGACGCTAGTAATGACACCAGCAGCGGACAACAACGAATGGTTATCCCCAGTCCGCCTACCAACTCCAGGCATGATTCGCGTCCTGCCTTCCAAGGGTATTATTGCGGTGAACAGCAAGCTACACTATCTTCAACTATTATGCTTTAAAACAATTCAAACCAGTCTCAACATACGGGTGGCAGCCAGTGCTTCAAGACTTCTGCATACTGTACTTCATTTGGAAATCCCTCTGATTATATTCAACATCATTTTAGACGACATCATCTTCGGTCGAGCCTCAATACACCTGGCCTAAAAGCATTTCATCCGTGATGGTTGTTCCGGCAATTCCAGAGTATGTCGTCGCCCAGAATAATCTGAAGCTCGAGGAAATCGCAGCAAAGCTTGAGTAACTTCTCGATGGCACTTTCTTGGGCTACTTGGGCTTGCTCTGCTCACTCCTTCTGCTGCGAATGGTTCTGATCAACGCTAATTGCCGCTACTTCCAGGGTTGTCGAGGAAGACATTCAATCCTCCATTGATGCTCGAACGGATGCCTTGCAAACACTTCGTGAATTAGGTCCGCCAGACCTAGTTCATCTTGTCAAACAGTCAACCAAGTCACATGGAAACAAAGTATGTAAGGTGTCGCAAACGCACCTTTTGCAATCGCGCTTGATCGCCCTTTGATTGCATTTTCGCCTTGAAACGACAGTATAAATACATTTCCGTACGCTGACATTCATAATTTAGATCGGAGTCTATCATCATGTCACCGGCATCGATGCTTCTTCATCGGCAAGCTTAGCCGCCTACGTCAATACGCTTACTTACAATCCCAACGAGAAGAATTACAAAGTGATCTCTGGTACTTATTGGTAAATAAGGCTACATTGAATCCTATTCTGTTTACGCCGGCTAATGCCTAGTAGCTGCTATAACGCCTTCTCGCGGGTAGACATGAGAGTCCAGGTGACCATACCGGGAACAGTTGAAAGCTATTGCATCGATGAGAAGGGCGACAAACGCGTGGCAACAGATAGCTTGTGGCTTGAAACCTATCTTTGTGGTGTGTTAAGAGCATACTCCTATGCCGACGATGGAACTGGAGATATAATTAGGAGAATCATTGGGTTGCGAAGATTTAATCCGATTACAAGTACGGAATCTGAGCATAGATTCCTCGATGCGGCCGAGCGACTCTTCTTCAAAGGTATTGTAATTCAAGAAGGTGGCGCAAGGAGTAAGAGATTACTAACCTCTGGCAGGCTGGCAATTGGGATCTGACCCTGAAATACAAGTACCGAATATGGTGTCGAACCACCTGACAGCTGGCCTATTGAACTACATTCGCACTACTGGCCGGTTTGCGTCCGGCATCAACCTCTTTGAGAAACTTCGGACTCGTGACATTGAGGTTTCGTCGCTTCTGGCAAGAGTCCTCATTGCCGCCGATGAGGAGGTTCGTGCAGTAGCACTTCTGTATGAAGCGGTTCAGGAAATTCCCATGGATTATTCATTACTGGACTGTCAGGCCGAGTTCCTAATGAAGAAAGGCAGAGCCGATCTTGCACTTGAATGCGCGAAACGGAGTGTCATTTCTGCACCGAGTGAATTTGGAACCTGGGCCCGCTTAGCAGAAGTCTACATAAGCCTGGAGCAATGGGATCTTGCGCTCTTGACACTTAATTCGTGTCCAATGTTTACTTACCAAGACAAAGATGCCCCTCGGCTTCCTGAACCATCCCGTATAATCCTGCCAGTCCTTCCGGAGAGCATGCTGGACGAACTTGATGATTCGCCAGCTGAGAATGAGACGGAACTTGTCCACCCAAGCCTCCGCAAACTGCATGCCGCCAATTATAAAGGGACTTTTCTCAAAGCATACAGTCTATTAACCGAAATAACAGCAAAGATTGGCTGGGATCAGCTCTTGAAGATTCGAAGTACCGTCTTTGTGATGGAAGAGGAATACAGAAGCGAAAAACAAACGCATTCTAGAAGCGCGAGCAATACCGCTCTGAGGGGCACTCCAAGCCCCAAAGAGAACGAGGAACTGCAAAATGGGGCGACCAACGGCGCGGAAGCTCCAAATGGTGTGCCTGAATCAGGCGGCAACCACGAAGAATCTCCAGAAAGGCCAGAGCATACCGTCACGTCAGAGGAAGTCAAGGCGGGCACTGAAGATGTGAGTAAATTAAATTTTTGATGCAATGGAGGCCATGGACACTGACTGCGTACAGCCTGATCCGTCGCATTCGAAATATACACAGTTTCACCATAAGAGACTTTGCGAGCGGTGGCTAGACAATCTTTTCATGGTTCTCTATGAGGATCTTCGTGTGTATACGATTTGGCGCACAGAGATGACCCAGTCTCGGCAGCAGCAGCTTCAGTACAAAAAGTCAGGAGAAGAGTGGGAAATACTTGGAGAACTTGCCGAACGGTTGCACCACTTTGACGAGGCGATTGAAGCGTATCAAGCTTGCTTGAGTATCCGCTTCAGTCCCAAGGCAATGAAAGCAGTCTTGACCATGTACGAGAAGCAGGGTGATGGCAGACTGATGCTCCAAGCGTTGATTCGCCTGGTAGCATGGCAGTACCGGTGGTATGCAGAGGTATGGCGCATTCACTTCCATATTCCCCACCATGTCCTTGGCACCCGGCTAACTTCTGATAACTAATAGTTTTCTCCATTGCTTCTCTACACTATCCGCAAGCTTATCGAAGATGAAGGTGCAGTCAAGGTTAGAAGCATTGTCCAAGCCACTAACCTGCCGCAATCCGTCCTTGACCTCACCCATCATTACGCAGCGCTTTGTGCAGCGTTCCGAAGTACCGGCAGCGATGGCTGAGTGCGGTTGGGAATGCGCGGCGTCAAGATCACGAGACCATAATAAAACCGTGAATCTGCCACGCCATCTTACTTCCCATTAAATCTCCACATGACATAGCTAATTGTTCTTCTGTATGTGTGCTCGGCGGAATTTTTTTTGGAATTCACCTGCGCATCGTGGTTCGTCCGGCGCAAGGTATTTTTTTCGTATGGGGGCCGATCTCCTCATGCCGCGATTGATATATTGCATACTATGTAATCGGCTAGATTCATCGGATACCTGATTTCCTTTGCCTGCAAATAAAAGCGCATTTGTGGCGAGAATTGCTCTCTCTACATTTTATATAGTGGCGCCAACAAAGCCCAAAACGGCAAGCTATACATTCTACCCTTGATCGGCTACCTATGTTTTCGTTGATTCTGGACCACAGCAAGAAGGATTTCCATAGAGACTAGCTATATATCTATTAATTTCTTACGATAACGCGAGCATAAGAGTCCATCAAACCAGCTCACTCAGAATTTCCTGACGAAACCAAAAAAAAAGACTTGAGAACAGGCTGGTGTCCTCATTATTCTTCTTCTTCCCCTTCGACCTCTTCGAGATCACTTTCCTTTGGTATGGTGCTCTCCTTTGCCGCTTTAGCTGCGGCTGCGGGTCCAGATTTAGCTGCAGTGTCGGTAGGTTCTTCCTCGACTTCCTCTTCCTCATCTTCCTCCTCTACTTCTACGACGCCACCATTTTCGCCTTCTTCCTCTCCTTCTTCTCCTTCTTCGAAAGCGAGCTCTTCGCCCTCTTCGTCAGGAACCTCTACAGGCTCAGCTGTCCGACGCTTCTTTGGCTTTGGAGGAGCTATGAATTCAACAAATCAGCGGGAATTGTTCGGTTGAGCCTTGTACTATGCTAGCACGCTCCGTCTTGCCAACGGCAATGAGGCACCGAGCTGGAAGGGCCTTTACTCACCTTCTTCGACTTGCTCTTCTTCTTCCTCTTCTTCCTCCTCAGAACCAGCGGAAGCTTCAGAACCCTCTGTTTCTTCGTATCTAGGGTAATTCCATTAGTGACCAATCTTTTGGATGACCCGGGCAGCTAAAAGATTGCACGTGTACAGATTATATTGTTTGAACAATGCAATCTGGAAGCAGACTAAGGCGCCATTGGTGAAAGGGTCGATGGGATTTCAGATCGGCGCAGGCCGTCCAGAGAATGAGCTCGAGCGTTGTCAAATTGGAAAGCGAGTTGCACAAATTCAAGAGAAGGACAGCAGTCGCGCTCCAATACAGATGGGTAATTCTCCAAACTCACTCTTCTTCTTCCTCACTCTCGTCACTAGGAAGCGCCTGGAGCTCTTCCTCCTCCTCAGCTTCCTGCTTTCTCTTTCGGGTAGACATGGCGGGCGCAAGCAGCTCGGGACGGGTTTACCGCGAATGCGTTTTCACAGAAAAATTGTACAGCTATGTCCAAGTGAGAACTGTACAGGAGATGGAAGAGTCCACGGTGATGTTGCAACTAGGAGGAACGATGGGAGATTACACACTAAGAGGAGACCGGAGAGGAGTAGGAAGGAGCGAAAGGAAGGGAAGCGCCGCAAGTGAACTCAGTCAGCAACTCCAAGTTAAAAGGACCAGACAGGACGAGCTCCGGGGGACTCCTAACTATGAGAGCTTGGATGGCTGGGAGCCCAGGCTGGACTACAATTGTGGGCATTGAGGGGGTGGCCCCAGGTCTGGGAGAGTAGGGTCGACGAAAAAGGTCGTCGACGAACGGGGGAGCACATTATTCGGGAGGGGAGTGAGGTAAATGAGCCATTGCGCGGGAAGTACTGTTGCGTACTGGAGAGCTAAATACCTTCATGGCTAACAGTGAGCTCAGAGCTGGGGGAGCTTGGGTCGAGCTCATCTCCGTCGGCCTCTAGCTGTGCTACAATGTGCTCTGGAAGTGCGCGGGCGCTGGAACCGAGCTTAACCTAGAGCAAGACTTGGGTTTGATTGGATTGGACGGGGGGAGCCACACAAATCCAGCGGTAACGTAGTCATTACCACCTGTCGGCCGGCTCTACCCCTTCTGCGCAGTTGCCAAAGGGACCAGCTGTGGCTCGAGAGTTGGACCGGCTCCCCCTCGACGTAAGGGGGGTCGATGCGCCAGGCCAAAGCTTTTCGACCCCAGGTTGAGATCAATGGTCACAGAGTGAGCGAGGGGCTTTGGCGACAGGTACGTTAGTTACTCTGTAGAGAGACTAAACTGGAAATCCCATCTGGGCAACAAGGGCCGATCTAAGCGAACCACAGCGCACCTGCGAGATTGCCCTGCAGCGAGAAACAAACGACTTGTTTGGACCTGGGAAGCTGGGGAAAGAGAGGTAGCTGTGGCTCAGAGAAAAAAAAAAATCCTGTACGATTTTCGATCAATGTCAAATTTGAATCAGTGCATGAATATTCTAGAAATACACGGCTTCAGTCTCGAGCGCTTTTCGCAAAAGTGGTATTTTGTACTATTCGGATGGATGAGAGTATTCCAGCGCAATGGAAGAACGAAAGTATGCAAAGCGCGTTCGGTGGTCTGATGCAGGGGAGACATTGCTGTTGTATTGTCCGAGATTTTCTCTCCCAGTCTCACTTTCTCAAGCTTTTTCTCTACTGTGGCTTTGTGGGGTTGTCTGGTAGCACCGTCCCTCATGGCTCGAATCTCCAGCGCATACCTTACCTACCTTAATGGACTGCTGCGGCACGAGTAACAGGTGATGAGATCCAGCTAAGGGTCCGACTCGGGATCTAAACGAGGGGTTACCATTAAAGGTGGGAACGCAATCCTGGGACATGGCGCTGGTATTGCCAAGCTGGTTCTACGTCTGGGGAAGAGACAGGGTATTGAAAGAGTTGGATCGGGTGCTGTCAAAATCTCTTCCTTTTACTCTACGTGATAATCGTGATTTTGCTGATTAGTAGTAGAGGAAGGAAAAGAAATTTGGCTACAATGCGACCTATTGTCGTTGCGAAATCTTGCGCTTTACGTGTGGAGGTCCCGCCTAGGAAGTCATAGCCGCCAATCTTGGACAATCCTATGACGTAGCTGGCTCGATCATGGCCAGGTCAAAGAGCAAGAGCCGTGAATGCCCTCTGAGGCTGTTATCAATGACCAAAAGACATAGCTTCCTTTATTTGATCTAGTTCACTAGAAAATAATCGTAATCCACGATTCGAATATCTTTTTTCATTTCTGTAGCATCCACAGCTGGCGGCCATTGTCGCCATCTCTCCAACCATGTCGGAAACCCATCCGGTCCCCGAGGAGCAGCCTGTTGCCGCACCAGCCATGGTCCACGCTGAGCCAGAGACTGCCCCTACAGCAAGCCATGCCCTCGCAACCGTTGATCATGAAGAAAAAGGCGCGGCACAAGAAGGCCATGGTGATCCTGAGATCAAGGATCTGGGCTGGAACGAACATGTCGACCAAGTTCCAGCTCCACTCGTCGGGGGCATGTCGAATGAAGATCTCTGGGTGTTGGTTCGACGGTTTGACAAGGTTAGAATACAAACATGCTATATCTGCTGTAAATTATCTCTTGTATGCTTGATTGCTAATCTGTCATGCGTAGCAAATGTACCATGTGAAGGCAATTCCGTATCCCGTAGATGGAGATCTCGACTTGAACATTGCAGATGATGAAGAATTCTCGCCTGATAAGCTCCGCAGCAACTTGGAGCGACTCTATATGACAGTGATTCTCGGCCTTATGGGATTTGGCACTCATATTGTCCGGCTTCGTTCATGGAAGGAAGCACGCCGGACATCTGCATTCTGTGCTGTAAGCATATCTCACAAAAGCTTGCCGTACAAATCCGTTTAACAACATGTGGCAGGTTTATTTTATTGCTTGGGCTCTTGATTTTCTTGTCCCGATTTTCTTCACTACCCTGATTGTTCTGATTGTCTATCCGCCATCGCGGAATTTCCTATTCCCGCCTGCGCCCATGGCCATGGTAGATTCCAAAGGCGGTGTAAAGAAGCCCAAAGCTGGGGTCCTTGGAAGCCATGATACTGCGACTGGAGCACCTGAAACACACAAGGGCGAGGCAGCTGAGCAGGAAGCCAGTAACTTTGTCAACAGTTTCGCCTCGATTGCCCTGAGTAGCGCGGCGGGTAAAAGCCACGCCGGTAACGACGAAGAGCACAGCGATGCTATCGATAGTGCCGTTCCGGATCCAACAACTATAGCTACGCAGGCGGCTGTTGCCAAAGATTCAAGCGCCAGCGGAGCACCGACGAAGAAACATGACAAGACCAAACAGCCAATGGAGCAGGCCATGTGGGAGAAGATGAGGCCGGCTATGCACATGCTGTCGAGCATTTCTGACGGTTGGGAAAGATTCGCCAAGTATGATTTTTTGTTTTTTCTGTCTGTGTGCTGCAAAATGTGAAGCTAATTTGGATACAGTGCCCTATCGCCAACTGCTCCCTTCCCGCAAAATCGGTATAGACTTCGCCTGGCTGCCCTGCTCGTTCCCGCTGTCTGCATCGGCACGATTGTGACGTCTTATCTCTTCGTGAAATTATCAACGTTCATCTTTGGAGTAGCGTTTTTCACCGATCCTTTGCTCTGGAATGCCGCTCATTGGCTCAATACCAATTTCCCCAATTGGCAGAAACTGCTTGAGTTGCGCAAGTATGTCACACCCTTGCCATCAATAATAGAAACGTCTCTTTGCTTACTTTTTTCCCAGCACCATTCTCCGAGGCGTTCCTACAAACGCTCAGTTGACCTTGACCTTACTCCGCATCGGTGAAGCCAACAAAGCTCCGCTTCCACCTCCGCCGCGATCAGACCAGCCGCCTCCAACTCGGGCTACGTCTCAGATTTCTGCTGATGAGCTTCCAATGGATGTTGATCAGAAGGATGTCAACGCTGCCATTCATCCGGACCGATCCCAGCTTCATAGAGAGGCCAAGGCGGATGCTGAAGCGGCAAAGAAGCCAAAGCATGGATCACGTCTCCTGGCCTTCTTCAAGGGCACCACCAAAACCACTGTTCAGGCCGCGTTGGGTGCCGACCATCTCAAGGCAGATCTTGGATCAGTTCATGCTAAGAATCGACTCGGAGTGTTGCCTCGGCCCAGCGAAGAAAAGGAGCAGGGTCCCGTCGATTTCAAGGGACGGCACCGCGGCAAAAAGGGTCATCTCTACGTTAGCACCGGCAACTTTGCTCCTGGAACTGATGTGCCCACCGTTTTCTTCACCTCTACGGAGGCGAAAGGCCCGGATGATGTTAAACCTGTGTTTTCAGTGCCGGTTGCAGAGATTCAGGAGATCAAGAAGGTCGGTGGGCTAGGTTGGAAAACCAAGCTCGTCGTCGGATGGGCCATGGATCGTGAGGTTGCAGATGGAATCACTATTGTTGACCGAGAGGGTCATTCTTACACTGTCACTGCCATCCCCTTGCGCGATGAGCTCTTCAACCGCTTGGTTGCCATGGGCGGTCAGCGCTGGGTGTCCTGGTGAGAGTCTTAACGTGAACACGACGCTTTTCCCTTTTTTTTTTCACCTCGGCGCTGTTTTCTGTATCCATGGGTGCTTGCTTCAATGATGAGGCTTTCTCATCCCAAAGAAGTTTGATGCAATCAGTGACGCTGTATTAGTAATAGTTCTTTTTGATATCCGAGCAGCAGGCTCGGTTCTACGCGGAAGGCCTGTAGCGCATACATATCACGATGCATTTTGATAGTTTGATCACGACGTAATAAATAAAATTTTACTGGAAAATGATGAATATTCAAGCATTCTATGTATGTATGTATGTATGTATGGGTTTGTGGCATTAGAAAGCTAATGTTTGATAACACCTGAACAGTTCCTGGCCACGATCTTCCAATTCCGCATAACAATGTTTCAAAAATATTCCGGGACTGCGAGAAAATATTCATTTCCTAACATAACTCCATAAAAATTCTCAAACAGAAGAAAATTGAATTGAAAAAAAAAAAAAAAAGAAAAAAAAAGAAAAGAAAAGAAAAGCTTATGTTGAATATGTCAATCTATAAAGTAAATATCACGATGATTTTCATCCATTATTTTGCATCCCCTATCCTTTGTTTTGCCTCAGGACATGGAGGAACTTCTTTATTTACAGAACATAGGCCGGCCTCGATTATGAAACTAAATTAATTGGTTTATATTATTGCAAATTAGGGTTCAGCTAACAATCGGAAGCCCTTATAGCTCAGTGGTAGAGCGTTGCACTTGTACAGTGCTCCTTTCCTCTTCGGTTAGGTAATCAGTTGCGATATGCAAAGGTCGGTAGTTCAATCCTGCCTGGGGGCAACCTTTCTTTTTTTCGTGTGGTTTTTTGTTTATTTATTTATTTTGGTTTTTTCTGTTTTTCTGGACGCCCTCATCAAATTCATTCAATTTCTGCTTCCCTGAGCTTTTCCCATGAATTTTGGCGGTGATGGTTGGTGGGTGGTTGGTGGATGAATAAAACGTGAATATGATTAATACCTAGTTACCGCTTCAAGCGCTGTTTTCCCTGCGCCCTGATGAATCGTTACCTTCATTTTCCAGCTGCGGTGTTCTCCCCTATAAAAGGGCCTCTGGGCCCTGCCAGAAGGGTCTTCTCGCCTGGGTATACTGACAGTCCATTGACTCCATTCTATTCAGTGTCGAAGATTTTTGATTCTCCGCTGCTGTCATGCTGATATTTGCAGACCTTTTTGCAGAGTGTCTTTCTCGTTCAAAGAAACAGAATCAGAAACCGGATAATAAACAACACAATATCACTTCAAATACTATCGTTACATCAATTCATCTCATACGGAGTAGAAGGTGCATTGAATCTCGGAACTATATACAATCTAGAACGAGAAACTGTTTATTACTCGAAACAAAAGGGAAGGTCATTTAAATGTCCAATTCAACCCTCCTACCGAATTGTCAATGCCGACCCGCCCACCGTCAGGGTCTTTCCGCGTGAACTCTTGCTAGAGCTTGGGGTCGACGATGAGCCCCGGTTGACTGATCTCTGTTCGAGGTGGACGTGGGGAAAGGGAATTGACATTATCGAGGCGGGCGTGGGTTTGCTAAAATGTTGTCACCGTTGTCAACGTTGAACGTTGTTTTTGGAGATGAATCCATATCCAGACTGTATTTATTCAGTCGATTGCGGCTTGGTCGGGCCAAAGAAGAGGGAGCTGGAGCTGGAGCTGGAGCTGGTGGAAAGGGACACGTCGTTGTGGGCATCTCTACAAAATGTAATTTATTGATTCAACCGGTGGTAACTATACGAATTTTGCCAAGGCTAGTCAACTGATTTTTTAGATAGCACAATCATTGAAATCATGCCCAATTTTACCTCTTTGCCGTCAGCTCCGCTGCGAGCCCGCGGCGCTCACAAAAGTCGTCCTCGACTCGTGGAAAGCAGCAGTCATCATCCTCGTTCGCGACCGTCTCCGCTGCTGTCATCTTCGGATCCGGGATCTCATACCGGGCATGGCGCAGAGATGGACCAATTTTCCAGGAACTTGAGATTAAGAAAGCGTGATGATAACAAAAGAATACTGGTTTCCGCTTCTATGAAAATCGTCTAATTGCAGTGATCATCCCTAACTCTTTTTTGGGGGGTAATCTTTTAATAATCTCAAGAACCTGTATCTCAAGAACCTGTATGGTGTAATTAACAGTCAAATCATGCTACAAGAATATGTTTATCGAAATGGTCATTCCTTGGCGAGGATGGACCGACTTTTAGTGCAAATCAATGTAAATCAACGTACATTATATTGCCAGGCTTTAACTTTCAGAGAGGCGTACAAAGGTATAATTGTGGCATACCTTAGGCAGCTCCAGCAGCATTCGGGGGCGGAACAAAAGGACCGAAGCCGGCTGATAAGTCATAGCGGCGGGTTAATGAGACACTTAAGCACCACGTGGAGCCCAAGGAGCTAATTCCAAAACAATATTACAACTTCGCGATAAGAAACGTGAAGTATATCATCGCTATCACCTGGAGTAGCACATCGTAGTATTGTCGTTCCAGAAAGAAGCTGGGCAGTGGGTTTAGCGCGGTCATTGCCGTCAACCATTGATTAAACTAAGCGCGTAGTCTCATCTCTATCTGAGCATCGTCGGAGGGCGCCGTACCGACTGTTTCCACTTTTTTTTTCCCTGTCTACGGAGTAGTTAGCATTATTATTGTTGACGCTCGTATAAGAAGCCCAGAGCCGGTCGAGATGGCGGTGCTCAAAGGAAGCCCTGAGATTGAGATCAATTGGCATAGCACTGCTCCACCATGGTGAAAATACATTCTGCCTCTGTTTTGTTTACCAGCGCAATTGCGGCTTTGGCTTCGGCCTCGCCGGTTGCAGATGTGAAAAGAGATGTTGCTGCGCCGACGAACAAGGTCGTCATGGACAATGACTATGCCGCAAGGGCTTGGAACAGCTTCTTGCTCGCGCTCAATGCCGGATGGGACGTACTTGGATTGACTGCATGTAAGTCAACTTCACAATGTATATCCCGTTAGAGTACCTATATCTTAACGACTTTTTTTTACAGCTACCGGCGATACCTGGATGCCCCAAGGAGTTGAGCACGCTCTTGCTAACCTCGAGCTCGGCGGCCTGAGCTGCATCCCCGTCTACGCTGGGTCCGTGTACCCGCTCCTCAACACCCCCGAGCTCTTCCAGACTTGGCAGAAGATCCACGGCGCCGTTGTCTGGCAGGGATCTTTCGCCCCCGAGAACGCGACCTTGGAGGCGGAGGGTATGGACCCAACTTCGGGCGACCCGTTCCGGATCAACACCAAGGCCCTCGTCATGCAGCCTACGACCATGGTCCAGAACCGCACCGGAGCAGTCAATTTCATGATCGAGCAGGTGTACAAATATCCTGGCCAAGTGTCCATCTATGCAGCAGGTGCCTTGACCAACGTTGCTCTGGCAGTGCGATCAGACCCCAAGTTTGCCTCGTTGGCCAAGGAGCTCGTCATCATGGGCGGCTACATTGATGTCAACATGCTCGCCGCCACTGGTTCTCCTTATGTGACCGATCTCAACACTGACGTACGTTCTTCTTCTTTTTTCCTTCCCCCCATCCCTCCCCCCCTCTTGCCGCACACCCCCCAATCTAACATCCGATATCTTAGATCAACACCATGTATGATCCCGAGGCTTCCAAGATTGCCTTGACCGCAGACTTCCCCAACATTACCATTGCCGGCAACGTCGCCAACTCCATCATCCCTACCGACGAGTGGTTCGACGAGCTGGTCAAGGTCGAGAGCCCGTACACCAAGTACATCAAGGAGAACGGCCCCGGCATGATTTTCCCCTTCTGGGACGACATTGCTGGCGCCATCCTGGTCGAGCCTGCCATTGTTACCAACAGCACCAAGGTCTACATTGACGTTGACACGGCTTGGTCAAGCCCCAGCTACGGTACTGTTCGTGCCTATGCCAAGGACTTGGCCCCCATGGGAACCCGCGAGGTCAACTACGTCAACAAGATTAACGAAACTCGCTTCTACGAGATCTTGACGCACTCGCTGCAGTACCCGAAGACTTGCGCGGACCTTTCTTGATCTCCAAAACACACCAAAACAAAGAAGCTAGCTCTCTTTTGTCGTTTTAAAAAGATACCATGTGTTAGCGGTCTTGTTACTTTGTAGATATCTGTACATATGTATCAATAGAAATGGAAAGTAATTAAGAATCATATTGTACATACATCCAGCAAGTTTCATTTTCTGCTATTGTGGCATACTTGATGTAATATCTCGTGCCTGAGCAATGGATAGCGTGGGGTTAACCATTCCCGCTGAAACGTTGAGGGCGCCGATCTTTTCCCCTCCAGAGTGAACCCAATGTGCCTGTACAGTGTACACTTGAAGAGAACTCGCCGCCCAATCGGAACGTTGAAAGATTATGACAACGGTAATTGATCCGAACAGAGATATACACAAATGAACTCATCCGATACAAAATACACACGAGCAAAAGTCGTCAATATGAGTAAATCGAAATATGAATCCTTGCTTGTATTGCCTATTGCCCTGGCTGCGTCCCCCCTGGGACTCGACGCGTTATGATGAAACGCGAAACGCTATATGTGAAGCTAGACGCTATTCTAAGGGTGGAAAAAGAAAGAAAAAGAAAAAGAAAAAGGAAAAGGAAAAGGAAAGGTGCTGGCTAAAACGCAAACCCGGAAAGAACAGGGGAAAGGGGAAAAGAAAACGTGATAGACTTGCTGAAAATGGGAGGTAGAAGAAGAAGAAGAGCATCAGCACATGGCGATAGTAGTAGGAGCTGGACATAGGGAGGGCTAGACGGGGAAAGCTAGACAAAGAAAAAGAAAAGAAGGAGAAGCGAAGAGAAGCGAAGATAAGTAGGAAATGCAGAAAAGAGAAGAGAAGATAATGGGAAAATAAGAGAAAATGAAGAGAAGAGAAGATAATGGGAAATGAACAAAAGAGAAGATGAGATAAGAGAAAAGAAAAGAAAAGAAGAGATAGCTAATATGCTCAGAGCAAGCAATGTGTACGTGCCACGTGAAGGACGAAGAAATGTCTGCGCGCGTCTTGCAGCAGAACTAGAGTAGAGAACCAAAAGGATATCACAACGAGGTTCAAGGTAAAAAGGCCGAAAAAAAAATGTCAAATGTCAAACGTCTGACCACCTCTTGTCCGCGCACTTCCCCCTAACACCCAAGTTTTCATAACAAGATGTCGTGGCCAGTTTCGCAGTGTCTAGCGCTAGTTAGATGATCTGCCGACTCTGACCGTGGTGGAGTCGTCCGGATGATTTTCCGAATGGGCTGATTCGTGCGCATCAGACCCGCGAGGCGTATCGCGATGATTATCCTGGGAGATGTCGTTGGCGCCAGTGGAAGTGGTGTCCCCGTTGAGTTCGCCCTCCTTGACGTCTTTCCAGCAGCACTTGGCGTGTTTCTTCGTGCAGCCAATACAAGCAGTGAGATTCTTGAGACAATCCATATGCAGACGTCTGCACCGATCGCAAGGCGGGATGACGCGGTCGCCACGTGCTAGATGTTCCATTCTAGCAACCATTTCTGCCCGGACGGTGTCTTTTTCCTCTCTGTCAGGGAGCGACTTCAACTGCGATGAAGGGGTCGATGACTTCCGAGTAAGCGGAGCTGGGGAGGCCGAGTTCAGCAGAAGCGTAGCATAGTCGTTGGTGTCAAAGACCGCTTTGGCAGATGAGCCTGTGGGTCCATTCGCAATGCTGGCTGGCGGAGTTTGGATTGGGTTTGGGATTCGAGCTTGAGAAACATTCGAGTCTCGACTGCGAGAAGCGCTACTGTTCCTCAATTCGGCGTTCGGAGCTGCGGAATCAGCTCTTGCTGGATCGAAACGCGAGCCGATAAGGCGTATGCCCCCTTGCTCTTCACCACTTCCAAGAACACTCGAGTGGCGTCTGGCGTTGACTGGCATGAACCCGTGGAGGTGGGGCTCCGGCTGCGGCGGTTGGGCTGGGGTAACTCTCTGCAGACTTTGTCCAAAGCCATTCGCTGAAAATGGTGTCAAAGGCTTAATATTTTCTTTGGCGGAAGCTTCGCCCGTGCGCCGGCTTGTAATGGCAGATTTCCGATTCCGAAGACGGTGATTCAATTGGCGTGCTCGAGCAGATACTATACAAGGGGTGAGCATTTTCAACAAGTTTTCTTCGGCTTGGGCAGAAGTGCATGCAAAATGAAAGATAGGCTTGTAGCAATCCGTACCTTGATCAGCAAGCTGGAAGATCTGGGTGAGGCTCTTTTCGAGTGCCTCCAGCGTCCCGAGTTCTTTCTCTTCATCTTCATCAATCGGCTGAGGCGGAATAAGTTTCTGGGGCATGCCAGATGATATCAGGACATAGTCCTCCTCCGATATCTCCACACGGCATTGCTTGGTGTAGAATTGGCATACCCGGACACCGTCTCTCATCTGGCTCAACGAAAACTGTTCAGGTTTGTTCCTTGCGAATTCCACGACATCCAACCAATTCACAGTTGTCCCTTCCTTCCCATGGCACTTGAGCACTTGCGGTGGCCCGTCAAAGAGCCTCTCAAACCGCTTGATCAATATCGGTCCTAACGGGCGCGCGCCCAAGTTCCCAGCCATGCTCTCATGTCTCTGGAGGACACCGTCATATTCGCTAATCAACGCCAACATTGTTTGCATATTATCGTTTGTAGATATCCAAGGGAGATCTTCTGCATATTGACGCACAAGGTAATTGATCTGGACGTGATTCTGTGGGGTCCTTGCGAGTTTGGCTGCCGGCGGCTGTTGATGAGGAGCTTCGGCGGAGAGGCTCCTTCTCCTCTTTGAAGCTCCGCTCGTGGCCGAAGAAGGCTGAGGAGCAGTTGCGGGGCTTGCCCCAGAAGCTCTATCCATCGTACTTTATCGTACTAGAAAGGCAACGCAATGAGTTTTTCTCGTTGACCGACGATTAGTAGTGCAACACCGGGCTCATGTTCTCACTTCCTGCGACAAAGAAACGCGCGCCCAGCGGAACAATCTCCAGGCGAGAGTGGTAGGATCAGCGCCCGCGTACGTCAGCTTCAGTTTTCTCTCATGCAGGAAATGAAACAGAGAAACGCGTCTAGCTTCAACCACAAGACTTCCCGTACACTTCCGAACAGAATATCAAGAAACAATATTCATCGATTAGCAGGCGCGTAACTTGCTGTGAGCGGAGGCCATAGGAGGGGGTGGAGGGAAAGCGAGAACGGGACGGCTCCCGTGCCGAATACGCGAAACAGCTCGGGGATTTGCATCTCTCGCTTGGCGGATTTTGATCCGCGCGCAAACGCTGGACAGTATTAGCAGATAGCTCATTGATCGCTGCACTTTACGCGATATCCCGAACAACGTCAAAAGTTACAACGCTAAACCATTGCCCTTGTCATCCCCCAGATGTCGGAACGAGGCAATTTCCGTGGCGGTCGCGGCAGCGGTGGCGGCAGAGGCGGTAGAGGTGGAGATCGAGGTGGCCGTGGCGGCGCCCAGGGTGGTCAAGCTCAAGAGCGCAAGAAGGAAAATATCCTGGATCTCTCCAAGTACATGGACAAGGAGATCAATGTCAAGTTCAACGGTGGCAGAGAAGGTACAGTATCTTGGGCATTGCATACGACTCGTCATATACTAAGCTATCTTGGAAAAAACAGTTGTGGGCACGCTCAAAGGTTACGACCAGCTGATGAACCTTGTCTTGGACGATGTCAAGGAGCTGATGAGAGGTACGCTTGACATGGATGTATACAACTTTTTTCGAAGAATAAGTCTCTGACTCTTATGAATAGATGATGAAGGCAATGAGTCTTCGCGACCGCTCGGCCTCATTGTCGCCCGGGGCACCCTACTCGTTTTGATTTCTCCCGTCGACGGAAGCGAAGAGATTGCCAACCCGTTCGTCCAACTTGAAGCGTAAACAGAAGGGATGGATTCATTCGCTTTTTCTTTTGATACCCTGTCCCGGGTATTCTGGCTCTGTTGAATATTGGGGATATGTTCTTATTTAAGCATGGCCCATCCGCATCTTACATGAAGGTATTGGCTTATTCTGTGCTGCATTACATGCCGAACCGGGCAGCAGCTGGTGAGGCTGGCCTCATGGGGGGAATATGCGGTTTTCACCAAAGACAATTGGTGTCTAACGTGCGTACAAAGAGGACTCTTGAATTGCTCTCTTTCGGCCTACGAAGCTCATGTGTGTCGTAGCCTAAACGCATACAATAATGATGTAACTAAATGACGATAAAAGAAAAAGAAAAGTTATTTTTGATAGGATCTCATCAGATATGTTTTTGGACTGCCTGACACGCATAGATACTCTCGAATTTCGCAATAGAATGAGTGCCCCCCCTCCCCTGTCCATTCCAATCGATGACATCTCCCGACTTTCTCCGCCCAGGACTGGGGCTACCGAGGTTATCATACCACCAAGGTGCACCAAAGTGTTTGGATGATATTAAACTCTTCTACCACCCATCAACTTCTTTATTTCTTTGATCCATCTTCATCTTTACATGGAGTCAAACTGGTACGGTTGTCCAGCTCAAAAAGTGTTCCACCGCAGCCATGGTCTGGACAGCGTCACCTAAAACAGCAGACCGCTGGCCAATGACCAGCCAGAATGATGGCAGGCGGGAGAGAATGTCCAAAGGGGTCAATCTTATCGATTGGCTGTCGGAAATCAGCACAAGCAATAAGGTAGCTTCTCTTTCACTATTCCTCCTTTCTCCCTGTTTCCCTTGATTTATTCGCGGAGGAAAATTGTTTTAACCTATACGCAGTAACACAGATTCATTACGTGTTACTCCCCTTATCTACTTTGCTTGGCGCCACCCTTTATCACCCTTGACCTGCCAGATTGAACCCTAAAGCTTCGCTAGCCTGCTGTCAGCCAAATTTGACATATTGTTCAATGATTTTTGTCCCAAATTTTTCAATAAATCGGGCACTGAATATATCCATCCATTCTTCTCGATCAATCATCAAGGCGGCATTCACTAAGTAGGCGTTCTACACGCGAGTGACAGTTGAGGCGGAGCAGCCGACCGCGTAACCCACCAAACGTTGACCAGCTCGGGCACTTGTCGAGCTCATTATCATTATCGCCCTCAGCTACCAACAACCCATCGAACCTGGTCTTTGATCCACAAAATACGATCAATCGCGACTTCATCATGGCATCCGATTCCAATATTCATCGCCCAGCGAGCGTGCAAACCCTCGCTTCTACCCCGGCGCCAATTGAACTTTCTGCCATTCCCAACAAAGCGACCAGCACGGGCTTTGAGCCGCCATCTTTCGAGGCTGATACCGCAGCTGTCGCAAGGCCCGCAGCGTTCCATCTATCCGAGGCCGACGACCATGCAGATATCGAAAGACAGGGTCCTCCGCGTTACAGCGTGGAGGACGATCCATACCAGCTCTCCTCAAAGTTAAAATCCCCCCGAGAGCTTGACCAGATCAAAGCCAACATTTCACGAAAACGGAGCAAGGGCTGCGGTAGCTTTAGCGTGGCGAGCAACTACTGGAAAGGGAATCAACTTCAGGGTTTCTATGAAAATCAAAACGAAAACATTGAGAGGTTGCTCAAACCGGTCGACGAGCATCGTCGGGCGGCGAAAGAGGAACAGGGTGGAAATCAACTCAAATACAAGATTGCGGTTCGAGGAAGTTTCGCTGCGAATATCATCCTGGCCGGCTTGCAGGTCTATGGTGCTGCCGCGTCGGAATCGTTGTCTCTCTTCACCACCATGGCCGACGCCTTGTTCGATCCCTTGTCAAACCTGATGCTTATCCTGTCCAACCGCGCTGTCAATTCTGTTGACCCGCGCCGCTTTCCCTCCGGCAAAGCCAGGATTGAGACTGCTGGAAACATCTTTTTCTGCTTCCTCATGTGCTCCGTCTCATTTATCCTCATTGTTCTTTCGGCTCGCGATCTGGCGGCGGGCTCCGATACGAACACGCTGCATTTCCATCTTCCCTCGGTCATTGCCGTCGTTGTAGCATTCTGTACCAAGCTTGCGCTGTGGTTTTACTGCTATTCGCTGCGCAACATCTACTCCCAGGTCCGCATCTTGTGGGAAGACCACCGGAACGACTTGATTATCAACGGCTTCGGTATTCTTACCTCGGTCGGTGGCAGTAAACTTCGCTGGTGGATCGATCCCATGGGCGCCATTTTGCTCTCTTGCCTCATCTCGGTCCTGTGGCTGAAGACAGCATACCAAGAATTCCAACTGCTGATTGGCGTTTCTGCCGACACTCAGATGCTGCAACACATTACCTACATCTGTATGCAACCTTTCCTAACCCCCTTACGAACCTACTCTCCCAATGACTCTTGATATTGCTTTCCTGAAGCACCACATAGAAAGGATCCGTCACTAACACATGATCCCCAGCTATGACGCACTCTCCGATGATCTCCGCTATCGATACTGTGCGCGCCTACCACAGCGGTCCCAGAATCATTGTCGAAGTCGACATCGTCATGGATCCAAACGAGACGCTGCAAGCCACTCACGATGTCGCCGAGGAGTTGCAGACGAAGCTTGAAAGCCTCCCTGACGTTGAGCGCGCCTACGTTCATGTCGACTACGAAACAAGTCACAAGCCGGTATGTTTTTTCCATTTTCAAGCTCCCATTCGGCAGTTGCTTTGATGACTGATTCTTGATTTTTATAGGAGCATTTTCTGAAGAAGGAATTGTAAATCACAGATCTCACACACGTTTAGTCGTTTATTCCCGCATCGCATAGCACATCATCTGGTACATACATGAAGCGGAACAAATCTATCAGCAACGATATACAGGAGACAAAGTTTCTTTCATTGATTTACACCATATATACCATCGTACTTGTCGAATCGCACTTCATTTTTGGACATCAGCATGCCTTGATCATTCATTTCACAGATACTAGAAACCAGCCATATTTCGCAGCTGCAACAACAAACAGTGAAATTATACACTAGTAGACGCTCGACGTTGTGTGTACATGACAAAGCTGTCAATCATTAAAGAGAGTGATGACCTCTTGTGCAGATCTCTGCTCAAACAAATGAAAGAGAGTTGAGCCTTTGACGCCTGTTCCTTAAGTATATCCCAGAGCCGATTCGTCATCGTTGCTCAAATCCATCAATCCTGATAAATCACCCACACTTCATAGCATCATTAACCCATGAAAATCCATGGTTGACATCCACCAACATAGAATTAGTGGTGTTCGATCAAAAATAAAGCATCATATTGAAACCGCCGAATACAAGGGGAAAAGCGCTCTCCCATCGAGAGTGTTGATCCGGACAAAAAAAGATAAGAAGGGGAATTGAAAGATAAAGCGAACAATTGACCCATTCCTGCGCCAATCCCAATTCCCATCTGAGCCAAGTCTTGACACCTTCGAAAATTAAGCTTGTTTAGACTCGCCCTTTTCCTTCTCATCCGGGGAAGGCAGGGGTACCTCAGCAGGCAACGGGGCTGACAAAATCGCAGAGGCGGCACTTTCTGGTGCTTTGGCCGCGTCTGTCTCAGGTTCGCGAGCGGGAGATGATTTGATGTCCTCCTGGTCCTTCAATCCTATAGCTTGGGGGGAATCGGTAGTGGCTTCGGTCTTTTCAGACTGTCCTTTTACATCCGCGGTGGAAGCCTCTAGATCAGAAGCCTCCACGTCCGATGCCTCGCTGACACCCATGATCTCAGCTTGTTCGCGAGACAAACGCGTCTCACGACCGCGTTTGTGACAATACCAGAAAACGAAAAGGAGTACTATTGAAGACATGTTAGTGAAAAAAGGGTTCATGTTTCAAAGACTGGTAGGTGGATACTCACCAAATAAAGCCATGCTGAGCAAAATGTTTGAGCTGCCCATAAACGCCGGCCATCGAAGACGCAAAAAGTTGAGAATGGAGCGAAGCATGCCTGCTACTGCGCCCTGCTGGGCAACGAGTGTTTTCAAGCTAGGATATCTGCTCTTCTTCTCCTTTTCTTTCCCTTTGGTGTCCTCTTCGGCAGAAGCAGTTGCGGCAGCAGTGGCTGCTGCATCCGCTCCTGGTTTCTCAGATGCCGCGGCGAGAATTTCAGGCGCGAGACTCGTGGCAACTTTTACGGGAAGCGAGCGGATAAGTGACTGCAGGAATGGCGGCATGGTCCCAAACATTTTTTTGAGTTGTTGCTCTGAACCTGTCAAAAGACGGTCAAGGTCGTCATATGCTGTAGGCGCGCCATTGATAAGGTCTTTGACAATCAAATTGAACTTTTGAAGAAGCTCTTGCGATTCCTGTGAGAGGCTGAAAACGCGATTGTTTATTGCAGCTAGGTTCAGCTTGTCGAGCGTCGCGGTTATATCTTCCTGCTCTTTCGAAGCTGAATGGAGTTGCACAATATCAGTAAGCCTGCCCTCATGGGTGATATTTTTTTTTTTCGAACTGATCACTTCACCTTCTGCATCTGTAGTATTTTCTTTGGCTCCTTCTGGACCAGCTTCTTTCTCAACGGTAGCCTTGCTCTTTAAATCGCCAACAAGGTCAGCCCACTTTTCTTTGCCGCTCTCCTTTTTGAAAGTTTCTTGCGACTTACCTTTCGTCGCTGAAAGTACGACAGCGGATTGAACCGGCTCTTTCCTTGCTTGCTCTTGCCCTTGCCCGCTTCCGTGTCTGTGCTTTCTTCCGTCTGCTCATCCGGCGTCTCCGGCAGAGGGATGTCTTGAGCTCCATTCATCAGCGCAATCTGCGGATCTTTCCCCACTGGCTCCTCTCCTGTGACTTTTCCCTCGGTAATGACCGCGGGGCTTTCTGGAAGAGGCGGAGGCCTGCTCTCATCTGTAGCATTTCGTAAAAACTGCTCGTCTTCTTCATTCAGCACGGGGCCTTCGGACTGGCGCCGAGCCTGCTGCTTCGCTTTGGATCGTCGAAGCATTTTAATCAATATGTATTGTATTCAACCCGGGAGATAAGTTAACCGGCGTATAATGATAATCATCCAAATTGAAAAAGGCTAATCCTATAGACTCTGTGTCAAGTTGGAAAATAAGAATAGTATTTGATAAGTAGTATCTTGATAGAAATTCCCTTTCAACGTTTGAAGGCCAAGCGATACATTTTCTGGGAATATGTCAGTAGTACGCCACGCGCGTCCTGCTTGGGTATGCTCTCTCTTATCGCTCCAAAAGCTGGGGTGGCCCCGATTAACGAATACGTCATGGTGCTCATGGTGCCAATGCGGAGTGTCATAACTTGCAGGACTCGCTAAAGCCGGTTTAGGCTCATTGACTTTAGCCACAACGTTCCGCCAGGCCCGCGTAGATCAAACATTCTGTGGCTGAGGACCTATCTTCTTCGGTGTGTGAATTGAGCCAAAGTAGCAATTTTAAGGTCTGCTTTTGACAGCAACATGGATCGCAGGGTAACCCCCGTGTCTTCCGAAACGTGGCCTGCAAGTGTAGGCAACAACGGCAACATACTGTAAACAACGACAGGTTGCAGGTGTCAACTCGGTCGAAACTCTTGTCGACCAAAATATCCTACGATCTCCTCTTCTATCAATCTTTACGCAGCATCTACTCGACGTCTTTCGGTCTTGGACGTACACCCGAGCTCTCCACCGCCTGTCCACTACCATGTTATCCGCTATATCAGGAATGCAGCCACGGCAACTAGCCGCACAAGTACTCAACTTTGCGCTCGTTCTTTCGACGGCTTTTATGCTATGGAAAGGCTTATCCGTGGCCACAGACTCGCCGTCGCCAATAGTCGTTGTGCTGTCGGGATCAATGGAGCCGGCTTTCCAGCGAGGCGATTTACTGTTTCTGTGGAACCGGGCACGGAATACGCAGATTGGAGAAGTGGTCGTGTATAATGTGCGCGGAAAGGACATTCCGATTGTGCATCGGGTAGTGCGCAAGTTTGGTGGCGGGTACGTATTGAGCACCCAGGTTTCCCTGCCTAGAGGAGCTCTACTGCGGAAGTGCGGAAGTGGATAGGGCTGGCGAGTTTTGTTGGATTGGGAAACCTGAAGATGCAAATTGGAGGAATATTTTATCAAAGGCAGGATAAGGGCTGACAATGTGTGTCTGATCTATAGGATTAAACCGCTACGATTACTTACAAAAGGAGATAATAATCTGGCGGACGATACGGAGCTTTATGCGCGTGGCCAGGATTATCTTGACCGCGCCGCAGACGTTATTGGAAGCGTAAAAGGGTATATTCCGTTTGTCGGGTACGTGACGATATTGATCAGTGAGCATCCGTGGTTGAAGACGGTCATTTTTGGGTTAATGGGTGCCGTGGTGGTGTTGCAGAGGGAGTAATGTTTTTTTTTTTTTTTTTTTTTCGGTTCACGTTTGTGAGAAAAGTCTAGAGGATATCCTTGCTGTGATTTAGGAGTCACGATACTAGACACAATGGTAATTATAAATCTGGGAATAAAAGATGTAAAGCTTGTCATTGGAGACTTGTGTGTGGGCTTCCTGAATATTACTGATCGCGAGTATATACCGGAGTGTAGAGCAGAGTGACTAATAAACCCTGATTACGGTAGATGTTTGCTGTACTTGGAGAGCTATTATCTGATATTGATTATATATCGATTTATTAGTGTGGGTGAAATATTAATAATTATTATATTATTATTTATATTTCCGTTTTTCCGGGATTAGAAGAAATTCTAGAATCAATAAAATATTCACGTAATACGGTTTCTAAAGTTGGTAGAAGATCCCAAAGGGCAGAGCTGCTGTGATGCAGAGATGATAGTAATTTGAAACTGCTGAGACGTGGATTGCGTACTCGGACGTCTTCCCAATCGCCTCTCAGGGTCATCAGCCTCAGCCAAACGCACCAAATTCTGGACAGCTCTGGGATGCGCGGGGCCGTTCGGGAGTGGAGTGGAGTTAGTGGAGGGGAAAAAAAGTTACAGAGTTAGGCGAGGCGGAAGCGAGGAAAAAAAGGCCCTTCAACGCCACCGACCCCTCGGACTTTTCCCCTAAATGTCTCGCTGTGGCGTCGAATCACAGCGAGAGACAGGTGGCTGTCCCTGCTAAGTGCTACGTAAAGGTAACTCTAGATGGTTCCTTTTAGGACCGAGGGGTCTTTGATGGATTTTCTAGCAGGTTGTTTGTAGATTGTTGCTTCTTCAACTGATTCTCTTTGTGTCCCTCTCTTGCACCGCACGTCTGCAGATTGATTGTATTTAAAACCCAGAGGGCCCTGAATTGCGCAATTCCTGGGAGAACCCGCGAGGCCTTCATCCACTCTCTATTTCATCCATTCTATTCCCCTCCATCGCTCAATAGGTGCATTAGAAATCATGGCCGGCAGTCAGAGAAGGATCGCCAAGGTATGTGGGTTTTGTGTAAAACTGTTTGATACCTCTTTCACATATCCTCGTCGGAGCAACCAGCATGCCAAGAATCCATCAAAATGACCGCAACTGACCCTCGGATTTGTAGGAATTGGCAGAAATCACCAAAGACACTCCTGAAGGCGTGACAGCCAATCTCGTGGATGAATCGGACGTGTACAGATGGAGCATATTAATGGAGGGCCCCGAGGACTCACCGTACGCTGTAAGGAAATCACTTCTCGCCCGGCTCATTCGCCGAAACACGTGGCCAAGGCTTTTCTGACAATTATGTTTTGCGTGTCTCTAGGGTGGCCAGTTCAAGCTCCTGCTTACCCTTCCGGTCGACTATCCTTTCAAGCCCCCTGCGCTCAAATTCGAAACGAAAATCTACCACCCCAACGTTACGAATGACGACAAGGGCGCAATGTGTCTGGGCATCCTCAAGAGCGAAGAATGGAAACCATCGAGCAAGATCTCGGCCGTGTTGCGCACCGCACGATCACTGCTGGCCGAGCCGAACCCAGACGACGCGGTAGAGACGAGCATTGCGGAACAATTTAAGAATGATCGCAAGGAATTTGAACGCGTGGCTAAGGAATGGGTCACGCGCTACGCCAGCAAGCGCGCTTAAGCCCTTTTTCTCTCTCTCTCTCTCTCTCTCTCTCTCTCTTCAGTGGCCTGGGCTCTTTATTTTTCCTTTGCTGTTAATGATATTATACTTCAAAAGATCAGATCATTATGATCATGAAGAATGCACAAATGGCGTTTGCAAGGGGGATCACTTGGCAGAACAGACGAATGTTTGTCGATACAACAGCACTTGCATTTCCGGGGACCATCCAACATGTCTTTCATCAGTCTAGGTAGTTGTTGACTATTATCCGAGGCACTTGTCGTTTCTTTTTCCCATTACTTTTTTTTTTTTTCTTCGTTTCAAAGAATTTAGATAGCTCCTCTGTGCGGACACCGATTAAAAAGAGAGAATGCATATTTACTTGGGTTCTGATGTACCACAAGACCAATCTCCACAGATCTAAGACGGCAGCAAAGACCATGACCTGAGTCAGGAGGTCGAGAGGAAGTTACACGTAAATGATGACGATGGCAATAGTGTGTCTAAGCAGAGCCAAGTGGTCGGGAGAGAGAAAGAAATCAATAATGATGATGATGATGATGATGATGATGATGATGATGCACAAAGGCTCTGAAAGTCAAGCTGGTCCGAAAACGAGATAGCGGGAACGCGCCAAAAGACAAAATGCGCGTAATTTCCCTTTTTATTTCTCGTCTCCCTTTGGCGAAATTGCCTTGCTTGGCCTTGCAAGGTTTGGACTCTCCCTCTCTGACCACGTAAAAGGTAAAGAATCATAACTAAAGGTACCCCCCCGGTGCCGTTCATTATTATTGTAGGGCATTCGGGAAAGGCCAGACAAGGTTGGCTCTAACACGGGTTAAGTAGATGAGAATTAGCTAGCTAGCGGTGGGTAAAACACAACGATACGAGTAGTTAGTTAGTCCTGGTAATAGCCTCCATCTCTCCTCCCCTGTACACGTACGAATGATTCTAAACCCGTTTCCAATAAAAGCGCTCTGCTAAAATCGCTGTTCCCTGTCAATTGTTTCGGATGTCCCACATACGTTTAATGGACGTCTCAGAAGAAGAATCAAACGCTGGCCTTTCTTAGTGTGGCAGCGCTTTTCAACTCCGAAGGCAAACTGTATCGCCCTCTTTTTGTTTTTGTTTTTTAAACTCAGAGTCTGGTCCTTTTTAAGCATCACGCGCCCTGCAACGCCCAACTCTATTACGCATTTGTTTGTACCTCGACGCGCCGTACGACTTTTCCAAGTTTCCCCCAGCAAGGCATTGAGCATTGGAACCAATATCACAACCCGATCAATAGCACCCCTCGGATACGTGCAGCCGCGTCTGGAGACAAGTGAGAAATTGACCGTCGTAAGGCAAGCGGCACCTTGATAGGACGACTGGTATGAGGCGGCGGATTAGCTCGTCGAACCTCTGTGATTCTTGTTTGGACTTGGTACTGGGATATGCGGTGCGCGACCCTGATCCGCCATGAAGATGGACATGGCGAATGAAGACCAAGAAGTACGTTCTCGAGGAGCGATTGGCGACAGAGTGGTCCAACCGATCGAGGACGATGAACAACGGCATGGCTCCAGCCCCGGCCAATTCTCCACAATCATGAGCCAAGCTACTGCGCGGAATCCCGCTGTCGACGACTCGCATTCCCGTGCATCTACGCCGAGCCAATTGTGGCCTCAATACCATCCAGACGCCCACAGCCATCCCGAAGATACGCTCTCGCTGGAAAATGACCGAGGTGCTCAACGCTCCTTTTCTTCACCTCTCCCGGGGACAGACCATTCTCTCCTCGGTGTGGATCCGAATACACGGATGATTGCAGATGCAACACAACCTGTCAGTGAGCCCAATGGCACTTTGAAGGCGACAGATTCGGCCCCAAACGCATCGCTCGGCGCAAACCCACGTCCCTCGGAAGACGCACAGCAGCAGGTGGGACAGGAAGATTTGACAATATCGCGTTTTCCAACCCATCCCAAGGCCCTGCAGGAACCGTCATTGGGCATGCAGCTGCCGCTAACATTTCCGTCTCTCACGAGGGACAGGGGCGCATCTACGTCGTCACACAAACCCATACAAAACTCTGGCGTTCTTCCACTTCGCTCGTCGTCCTCCGTTTCAGATTATCGATCAATGGCAAAGCAGCCGCGACATCCTCTACTTCTTCGTTCCCGTTTCGACCGGTACCATTTTCGAGATAGCAATCTGTCGCTGCGCCGTCGGGACTCGCCGGCTCGACACGCGGACAATAATAATAATAATAATAATAATAATAATAACAGGGGAGAGGCAATTCGAGAAAGCATGAAGTCTGCCTTGACTATAGGGTCTAGCTACATCGAGACCAGCGGCACAGAGCGGAGCAGTGTCATCTCGAAGCGAAGCTCGACGAGCGATTTTGTCAATGTGCAAACAGCGGAGCCGGATCCCAAAGATGAGGGGATGACTGTCGATGACGCCATTGGCATGTACGAAAATGGTTTCACCGATGATGCTTCCATGTACTCTGCCGGTGGCGGTAGTTTTGGCGGCGGCAGTGGGAGGCCCGTATCGAGAAATGGTGGTGGTGGCGGTGGTAGTAATAGTGCTGGTCTCGACCCAAGTGTTCCTGATCCGAAACGGCTTTCTACCCTTTCCGTTCCAGATCCGAAGCGGCTGTCAGCAGTATCAGCAGTAACCGTGCACAAAGCATCCAGAGATGGATCTGCAGCAGCAGCAGCATTGCTCCGACCTGAATCTCCTAATATCCGACCAGCCACTGCACCAGCGACTGAGCCACCAACTGTAAATCCTTCAGAGCAGCCGCCATTACCAGCACCACCACCACTGCTGCCGGTACCGTCGCCACCGAAGCAGCAGCAGCAACAGCAGTCGCTACCTCGCCGTCCTGTACCAACAGAGGCGCGTGATCGCTATGGGTTCAAGAGAGCCACGCAGCATGTCACTCTCGAACAGTATAATACATGGGAAGCGAGCTACACGGAGCATCTCAAGAGACGAAAAGCGAAATGGATAGCACTCCTCCGCGAATATGGTCTGCCCGTTGAAAACCCGGTGCGCTTTCCACCCAAATCCGCCAAAGTGAAACGTTATGTTCGGAAAGGCATACCGCCAGAGTGGCGCGGTGCCGCATGGTTTTGGTACGCTGGAGGCTTTGCTCGACTGAAACGGTATCCGAACCGCTATCGAGAGCTGGTCCTGATGGCAAAGCATGGGCAGATGAGCGACAGTGACAAGGAGCTCATTGAACGAGACCTTCACCGAACATTTCCCGATAACGTGCGGTTCAAGCCCGACGCGTCGTCTTCCTCCTCTCCACCAGCCAGTCCTTCCAACGTGACAAATGGTGATTCAAGAAACAATGGCGAAGTAAACAATGGAGAAACGCCCGTTTTGCAATCCCTCCGACGCGTTCTCCAGGCTTTTTCCATACAGAATCCCAAGATTGGATACTGCCAATCCCTGAATTTTCTCGCTGGGCTACTCCTTTTGTTCATGGAAGAAGAAAAGGCATTTTGGATGCTCAACATCATCACGGACGTCTACCTCCCCGGCACGCATGAGGTCAATCTGGAAGGAGCCAACGTGGACCTTGGCGTTCTCATGATCAGCATTCGAGAATCCATGCCCTCCATTTGGGCCAAAATTGGTGGCGAGCTGGACGGCTCCTCTGCAGGCGGACGAGCAAGCACCCGCCTCCCACCGATTACGCTCTGCACGACTGCTTGGTTCATGAGCTGCTATATCGGCACACTGCCAATCGAAACAGTCTTGAGAGTATGGGATTCTCTCTTTTACGAAGGAAGCAAGACCGTGTTCCGCATCGCGCTTGCCATTTTCAAAGTCGGCGAAGACGATATCAAGGCCGTCAGCGACCCCATGGAGATCTTCCAGGTCGTCCAAACCATCCCTCGTCGCTTAATCGACGCCTCGGCGCTCATGGCCGCCTGCTTCAAGCGCCGCAATGGCTTTGGGCATATCAGCCAGGAAACTATCGAGGCGCGCCGCAAAGAACGCCGTGCCTTGTTCGCTCAAGAGCGCTCGCGCATCAATTCGGGCGGCGGCGTAGGCATTGGCGCGATTGATATCCCGCGGGAAAACTCCGACGAGGGCAGCCTCCGGCATATGTTTCGCCGAGCGGATTCAAAGGTCCGGCTTAAGAAGATTCATCTCCGGCTGTAGTCTCGTCCTAGTTCATCTTGCGATATTCTTGATTCATCTTCCAGTTGTTTCATCTGCGATATTCTTGATTCATCTTCTCAGTCGACCCTTGTTCATCTTGCGATATTCTTGATTTACCTCTCGGTTGATAACCATTGTCCTTGAGATTCGCATCTGATATTTTCGGTGTCCTTGAGATTCATCTGATTCATTTTCGGTGTCTTGGAATCTATCTTTCGACTGGTTTCTGGTTCCCAGTTTCCCTTCTCTGGTTTCCCTTGATTCTCTATTCTCGATTGATTTCTCTCGCTCATCTCACGCCAAAACCTACGTGTCACGATATTTGATACAACAATAATACCATCATAGCTTGCTACTTGATTTCCTATGCTATCGTGTCCCTTGATCTATTGTTATTTGTCCTTTTTTTTCTCTGTCTGTCCTATTCTTTCTCACCGTCCTACTTTGTTAATCTTGTTTTTTTCCCCTTATGTCTAATCCAATCTTAATCTTGTTTTTTTTTTCTTATGTCTAAAACGGTGAGCGAACATGTGCATCCGCACTGCTGAGCAGGTCTCGCTGTCACTTTCATTGGACTATTTCTTTGATCTTGATCTCTTGCATGCTCCTGTAATTCGTCTTCAAGGGTAGTCCTTTAATCAGGTGGCAATTTATTTTCTTTTTTTCCCCCTTCAGTCATTTATCGTTCTCTTTTTCTTTTCTTCAGTCGTTTATCTTTCTAGCTCTTCTTTTTTTCTATTCCCTTTTTTCTTCATTCATTGTCTTTCTTGTTCATCATCAACAACAACAACATCATCATCATCTCTTCTTTTCCCCTTCTCTTTGATCACCTCTCTTTTATCATTTTTTGTTCTCTTTATCCTATCTCTTCTTCTGGTCTCTCCTTCTCTCCTTCACCTCTTCAATCAAGACATACTCAACGTGATCTTAAATCCATACCGCAACCCATACCACAAGGCATATCACGTACCATGTACCACGCACCACGTACCACGTACCACGCATCAGGGCATAAATAGCATGGATAGCATAAATAGCATACAATACTAGTAGCATATCTCATACCTCCAATACAAACTTTTACTATTATGTCCAGAGTCCAGATTTCTATTTTCAATTAGTTCCAGACATTTTTTTTTTGTGTGTTCAATTATGTCTAGAACTTTACTTCAATTAGTCCCAGACTTTACTTCAATTAGTTCCAGAACTTTTACGTCAAGACCAGAAAAAGTTTAATGAGAGATGTTAAGATTTTTCGTTGCGCCTGTCCCGTGGCCAGTGTCCCGTGTCCTACATCATGTATTTTGATCCCATATCCCATCGTCCATCGTCCATCGTCCGTGGTCCGCGTCGTGGGTCCTACCTACCTTAGACTCCTAGCTTCCTAGCTTCCTAGCTTCCGAGGCCTGGCGACCCTGGTGCAAGGCAATACTGGCGTTGGGCTACGGAGTACTTTATTAAAAGTCTAGTGGAATCGGATGGTATGAAACATGTAGATATCATTAAGGAGTATAAGTACATCTAAGCGATCACTATCCAACAACAAGTCGCGATGCCAGAGTGGTTATTGGGTATGACTAGAAATCATATGGCTTCGGCCGCAGAGGTTCGAATCCTCTTCGCGACGATTTATTTTTTTCCCACCCTGCCCTCACTAAATTTTTTGATCGCATTTTTATTCGCCTTCCATGAAAAAGGTTTGGTCTAATTTTGTCCTCTATTCAATTCTTTTATGATCACTTTATTTTTCAATTCACATTTTTGTCACATTGGCACATTTCTGTTACGTTGAGTCCCTGATGAATCTTGTCTGTATTTGTTGCTCGTTCAGTCTCGTCAAGTTCCTCTGTATGGAGTACGGAGGACAAACTGAGGGACAGGGACAGAGGGATAGGAGGACAGACGGACAAAAGCACAAAATGCAGAATGGAGAAGGGAAAGAAAAGAGATTTGTGTAGTTGGTCAGACGATAACTCACATTACTCGTATCGACAGAGCTAACAGAGCAAGATATGAAACTACATGTCCAACACTACGAGAGTCTAGAGTTTACAACGTCACACAGAAATGTTCTCGAATATACAAGTCAACAGACAGAATTGATTGGTAGACTTAATTAGAAAGCTTAGTTACACTGTTGCGCCAGAATACCCGTAGACCAAATAAGCAGAAATTATAGACTGAGATGTGCGAGATGTGCGCGTCTCGTTTTGGTTATACAAACACAGAATATTACAAAAAGAGAAAAAAAGAAGAAAGGACGAGAAAACCGATACGCCATCTATAACTGATTAACTGGGACAGAAAGAGTAAATCGGACAGACAATCGGACAGACTAAACGGCGAGCAAGCAAACAAGGGCAGCGACAAGGACAGCGAATACAGTCGCAAAAGCGGTAGGGGTACTCCGAGGTGCAGCGCCGGTGAATGATTGGATATTCGCACTGGGCGCGCCGGCGCTGCTGCCGCTGCTGGACGCGGCTTTGAATGCATAGGCGCTGGCAAACGTCGTGTATCCTGTGCCAGTGCCAGTGCCAGTGCCTGTAGGATAGTATCCAAGAGAGCTATTATACTTGGGGCCTGTAAAGTGCGGGACGCTGGTAGGAGTCGCAGCAAAGCCAACGCTTGTTGTGGAGACCCCATACTCTGTGGTGAATTGAACCCGGGGCAGTGTTAGGGATGTAGTAATGACGGTAGTGGTGAAGGACTGGACAGGAGAGATGAGACTGGCTCCTGCCGATGAAGAAGGAGAGCTGCCGGCAGAGGATGAAAGAGGATTGGCGGCAGAAGGAGAAGCAGAAGCAGAGAGTGTACAAGGAACGGTCAGAGTCTGAGTGATAATGACAACAGTAGTTGTCGGAGCTTCAGGAGCAGAGGCCGCAGGTGTAATTGTAGTAGAGCTTGTTCCTGTGACGGCCCCTGCTAGTGATGATGATGAGCTGGCGGCTGCAGGGGCAGAGGAGGTCGGGCTTTCGACAATGGTGGAGGCGCTGGTGGGCGAAACGATGCCGACGGTGATCGTCGTAGGGATTGCCGTGATGATTGCCGGATTCTGTGGGATCTGTTCCGCGCATATACCAGCGAGGTACGTAAGTGCGGACTGGATTTCAGTGTTATTGGCTCCCCACGACTGAACACACTGGATTACATTGATAATAAGTGTTGGCTGTTTGCAGTAGCATGCGGTGTCGGATTTGGAGCTGCAGCCCGTTTGTGGAAGCCATGTATCGAGACATTTTGGTAGTACTTCTGTGTATGGCTGCGAAGAGGTTGATGGTGCAGAGGCAGTTGGGCTAGCTGGTGATGCCGGCGGGGCAGGAGATGTTGGCACGCTTGAAACCGTCGGCGCAGCTACCTGGGAAGCCGAGATAGTTGAGGTAGTCGTACTAAATACGGTGGAAAGCGAAGAAGTCACTATAGTGGTCGTCTGTGAACCTGAAGTTACAACGCTCGTAACCGGACAGGTTGTTATTGATGAGTAGACACTAAAACAGGTTAGCATTTCATTATCGCAAAACACCTTGGGAAAGGACTTACATCACAGTGGTTACGGCCTCCGGCAGGGTCGTGGTACTTGATGATGTTTGCACAGGAGCGACCTCAGAAGTCGATGGAACTGCAGAGACAGATGTTTCCAAGGAACTAGTGATTGTGGGCGAAGCTTCCAAGCTACTGGATGAAGGACTGGCAGCCACAGTTTCTACAGAACTTGTAGGTGCACTGTGAGGAGTCGACAGCGTACTTGTCGCTGTGACAGGGCAAACAGTTGTCGAGATTGCAATAATGGATGTAACGACACGTGTTGAATGACTTGGACAATTTGTAACCTCTGGACCGCAGCTGGTAATTGTGGCTAAGCTTGTACTGTAAATTGTCGAGGTGGTCAGCTGTGAATAGGTCGTGGTGACAGTCTCGAACACTTCAGTCGTACTAGTGGACTCAACCGCTGTCGATGATACAGTAGTCGGGATCGCGACAGGGCTGGAGCTCTCCGAGGATATTACCAAGGTCGGAGTGGAAGAGGATTGCTGCGACGAGCTGATCTCCGTCGGCGACACTTCACCGCTTGACGTTGTGGCCCCAACCGATGACACCGGGGTAACAGAGCTTTCTGTAACGCTTTCGATAACAGAAGAGCTCAAAGTACTCGTCGAAATTGATGTCAAACCTGTAGTGGAGCTGCTTGCAGAACTTGAAACTGCCTGAGCTGATGATGATAAACTCTCCGTTGCTGTGACAGGACATACAGTCGTTGATATAGCAATCACTGACGTGATGGTAGCAGTCGAACGTGCTGGGCAATTTGTAACCTCAGGACCACAGCTTGTAACCGTCGTAACAAAGGTGCTGAACACTGTCGAAGTGGTCATGGATGTAATGCTGGACGGCGTCGGGGATCCTTGAACAGAGGTTGGAAGTACTTCGCTCGAGGACTCGAAAATGCTGGACACGGGTGTAGTCGACAACGTCAGAGTAGAGAGAGATGTCGTCTCGCTAGTAGAGCTCAAAGAGGATGGTCCGTTTGTCTCTGAAGCTGTTGTAATCGTGCTACTTGAAGCAAGCGGCGTTGAAGAGCTCAAAAATGTTTCCGTTGCTGTTACTGGGCAGACCGTCGTGGAGATTGCAATGATTGAGGTTATGGTTGCGGTGGAGTGAGCCGGGCAGTTTGTCACGTCTGGTGCACAACTTGTGACAGTAGTAATCTGGGTGCTGAAGATCGTCGAGGTGGTCATTGTGATAGAGGTCTCGATGGTCGAAGAACTACTTGCAATTATTGTTGTTGGAAGTATTTCCGTCGAGGAACTCAAGCTGCTGGAGGGGGTAATCGAGCTTGTGATGGCAGTCTCGACGGTCGTAGAACTGCTTGCAATCGTTGTTGTCGGGAGTATTTCTGTCGAGGAGCTCAAACTGCTAGACAGGGTGATCGAGCTCGTAATGGCCGCTGTGGTTGTAGGCGACGTTGTGAGGCTCGTAGGACCTACGATACTCGACTCTGACGAGCTAGTTGTCGCCGTAGTCAACAGTGATGCAGAGCTGCTACTTGAAATGGCCGTACTCGTGACAGACGAGACTTCAGAAGAACTGACCGGGCAGACTGTCGTCGAGACAGCAATGATAGAGGTCACAACCGCGGTAGAACTGGCAGGACAGTTGGTAATGTCTGGTGCGCAACTGGTAATTGTAGCTACCTGCGTGCTGTAAATGGTGGAAGTCGTCATCGAAGTGGTATCAGTAGAGATTTGTGAGCTGCCCGTCGAAATGGGCGACACTAATGATGACGAGGATCCCGCAGTATTCGAAGCCAAAACAGAGCTTGACGAAAGAGGAACCGTCGAGCTAATTGATGTTGTCGATACAACTACAGAAGAGGCGCTCGATGGCGAGTAAGAAGATGAGCTCTGCGATGTAGCACTTGAGAGGCTTGACAAAATGGAGCTTGCACTGCTGACAGGACAAACTGTGGTTGAAATGGCAACGACAGACGTCACTGTTGCTGTCGAATGTGCGGGACAGTTGGTGACTTCAGGCCCACAGCTAGTAACAGTCGATACCACCGTGCTGAAGATGGTCAAAGTAGTCAACTCGGTTGTGCTCGTGCCAGATACAGAGCTTGCAAATGCTGATGTTGTTGAGGGAGCTTCTGATATCGTGGAAGCAGGACTGATACTGCTGGTTGACGATACTGTGGTCGAAGAAATCCCAGGACCGGTACTAGAGAGAAGTGATGTACTTGCCGCTGGCGATGAGCTGCTACTAAAGCTTGAGGACGCACTGGCGGTGACTGTTGGGCCAGAAATGGTCTCCGTGGACGTGACGCTAGATGAAATTTCCAGCGTAGAAGTGGCAGGCAGAGACTGCGACGGTGAAGCGTTCGAAGCAGAAGCAGAAGCAGAAGTAGATGAAGAACCGATTGATGTCGCACTAGCGAGAATTGAAGTGCTTGGGCTCAAGCTTGAGGATGTCTGCGAAGCAGTCACAGGACACACTGTTGTCGAAATTGCAATAATCGAGGTCACAGTGAGTGGTGAAGTTCTTGCCGGACAATTGGTTACATCAGGGGCACAGCTCGTGATGGTATATACTGAAGTCGAGTAGACTGTTGAGGTAGTCATCAAAGTTGCGCTAGTGGTTGTGGTCGATTCAGAAGACAAAACTTCTGAAGAAGACACAAGTGTACTAGAGTTTGAAGTAGAAGTTACAAGTGTTGGCGAGCTGACCGTGCCAAAGCTCGAAGAAGTGGGAACGGAAATGGAGCTTGAAGTAGGAGGGCTTGGGGAGCTAGCCGACACTGGGGATGTCAACACAGACGGAGTATTCGTCAGCGTGACAGGGCACACTGTGGTAGACACTGCAATGACCGACGTGACGAGTTGTGGTGATGTTCTCGCTGGACAATTGGTAACTTCAGGGGCGCAACTCGTAATGGTGAATGTAATGGTTGAATAAATTGTTGAAGTAGTGGACGTGGTCGTGATCGTTGCCACAGTTGAAGAAGGAGACGCGACGTACGAAGAAGAATTTGACGTCGGACCTGCTATTGACGAAGAAGATTGGATCGCACTTGATGCAGAACCAAAAGTAGAAGAGAGTGAATTGCTAAAGCCGATTGTCGAGCTTGGAGAGCTGGACACAGCAATAGCTGAAGACGTTGTAGTCACAGGCGAAGCGCTCGTGGTGCTAGAGACGGGGCAAACCGTTGTCGATACAGCTACGACAGAAGTTACTGTCTGCGGAGAGGTCCTCGCAGGACAATCTGTGACTTCGGGAGCACAACTCGTTATTGTCATCACAGTGGTGGAGTACACTGTTGAAGTCGTCATCTGAGTAGCATTTGTAAACGGCGCGGAAGCACTGCCGGACGAAGTCTCTATACTTCCAGAAGATGGAGTCCCAGTAACAGCGGATTGAGAAGGGAGGCTCAAGGAAGTTGAGTTAGTTGGCGCCAAACTGACGCTTGAGCCTGTGGCTGGCAGTGTTGAGCCTGAGTTATTCACGGAAGTCACCCCCGTGGGGAGAATAACAGAATTACTGGTACTGGTAACCGGGCAGACAGTGGTTGAGACGGCAACAATTGATGTCACTGTCAGCGGAGAAGTTCGTGCTGGGCAGTTTGTGACCTCGGGAGCACAGCTCGTGATAGTATAGATGGTAGTGGAATAAATAGTCGACGTCGTCAACTGAGTGGAGTTTGAGGATACCGGCGGAAACCCTGCAGATGATCCAGAACCCGAGGGTTGAGAAAATGGTCCGATTGAAGAGGACGTCAATGCCGAAAGAATGGATGAAGAAGAAGCGGCAGCAGAAGACGAAGACGAAAGCGACGACGGTATGCCAGTAGAAACATTGAAACTTCCGGTTGACAAGGTCGACGAGATTGTCGAGGAGATTTCCGAGCTGAAAGAGCTCGACGTGACTGCACCAAAAGTTGTTGAATTCGAATTGACAGGAGTAGAGGCTTGCGAAGTTGGGAGTACAGTAGTCGAACTTGAGCTCGTCAAGGAAATCTCCGAACTGGAAGAGCTTGGCGTGGCTGCACCAAAAGTTGTTGAATTCGAACTGCCAGGAGTAGAGGCTTGCGAACTCGGGAGTCCATTTGTTGAACTTGCGAAGCTTGAAATCGCAGGACTCGATGCAACACTAGACAGCGTGCTCGAGACCGGACAGACTGTTGTTGAAGTCGCAATCAAAGACGTCACAACTTGAGGCGATGTCCGGGCCGGACAGTCTGGTACCTCCGGTGCGCAACTAGTGACAGTGAAAACCGAAGTAGAATAGAAGGTAGAAGTCGTCAGTGTGGCATTAGTTGCTGACACAGGAGGTGTTGAGCTGCTCGATGGCAGAACGACAGAGGAAGATGGCAAGCTGCTGCTCGACCCTAAGACACTAGAACTCGAAGAGACAGGCTGTGAGCCGAAAGTCGAGAGCGATGTAGACGGCGTAACAGAGGAAGTGACTCCAACGATTGTCGAGCTACTTGCTGCCGAAGCCAGAGTTGACGGTGACGTTAGGGAAGAACTCGGAGGTGCTGATAGTCTGCTCAGAACAATTAGTAGGCGCATTTATTCCCAGGATTAACACTTGCTCACTCTGATGAAGGAGCCGAAGAGGTCGCCTCAACACTAACGGGGCAGACCGTTGTAGAGATAGCAATGATAGATGTAACAATTTGAGGAAATTCGCGGAATGGACAGTCCTCATTATCTGCGCCGCAACTTGTAATTGTCGATAGTGAGGTGGAATAGATTGTCGAGGTGGTCAACGTCGGAGAAACAACCACAGCGGAGGTTGTGTTGGCAAAAGGTGGAAAGGTAATTGCTGCTGAACTGGCAGATTGTACGGCCGTTGTGCCATCTGAATTGCTATCTGAGTCGCCATCTGGGGACGCATCGGAACCAGAAGGCGGAGGATCTCGAGCAAATACGGCTCCAAAACGTGCTGACCAACCCTATGCTAAAATCAGACGACCGTCTTCACGTAGTCATGTTTTCTACTCACAGTGGCGGAAGCCCGTTGACAGGCAATGTATAGAGCAAAAAGAACGGATGGAGATAGAATTCTCATGATGAAGCGTAATGGAAGGGGAAATGATTACGGGAGAGAGTTCCAGGAGGGAACAGGTTTAGATAGCAATACGCTCAGCAGTGATGGAAGCCAAAGAACGCCAGGCCAACATCCGAGAAACAAAGAGAGTAAAAAAGTTTCGGATGAAGAGTAGATCAAAGAAAACAAGAACGAATGACTGGTAGCTCGCTGTCACACACAAAAAGAAAATTTGGAAAATGAATGAAACGAAAAAGTCTGTTCATGCCGGGCCGCGCATCTTGATATAAGCCTCAAGGATGAAAATGCAGAGTGGCTCTATCGAAAGCCCATCCACAAATATCGGTGAGTGGCCCATACCGGATGGACCAGCAGATCACCTGCACTGAACCTCGTACTGGCTGCGTAACCGCTCTTTGCTCCTCACAATATTAGCAGCAGGATTAAGCTTCAGCCAGTGCATGGCCCAAAATTACTGAGTATGCAAGGCATCGTGGCCATGGCGCGCGCGTTCTTGATCAACCATGTGCCGAGCAAAGATTATGGCCAGGCGGATGGCGTTCTGTGAGCGCCAGATCTGTCAGTGGCTGTCTCGAGATAGATTAGCATCAAGCATTTCGGAGGATGAGGGCGGAAGTGGCTTTTTGGCCGCGTTTTGGTGAAACGTCCTGAACAGACCAACCGTCCAACCATATCAACCTGAACAGGGGTCCCAACAGGCGCCAAGCTAACAATGCAGGTACCAATAATGACAGACCGGTCATATAAACAGTCACAATGAATGAAGGCTAGGGAATTTCCTTTCTGACAGCATGACAAAGAAATGTGTTTAATTCATTAGCAGTACAGCGTCGTTGACATCTGGCATTGCTTTTGATATCTCAAAATATATGGTTGTTGCAACCATCCTTTGAAAACAGTGCTATAATAACAATGATCCTGTATCAGTACTTTGAATGTGAACGTGATATGGACGAGGTGCTGTCCATGCCCGTTTATGATTGCTGCATAACTTTCTCATTCCCCGAGCCCGCAGTAGAGCCATATGTGTCCCATCTGAGCGTGAAGTTGCGGGGAAGTCGTACAGGACAACAAAGAGAAGAAGGCGCGAGAAGAGGGAGGTCGGATTCTCTAGCGTCAAAGTTATCCGAGATCCTCTGTAGCACTTATTTGGTGCAAGCGCAGGTAGCGAACCATGTGTTCCACGGCGCTTCCAAAAATAATTCAGGTACATACACGAATACGGCGCATGCACATGTATTATTCCTGTACCTTGGATAACTCTGCCGTGTTCTCATAAATCCTAAGCTCCCCTCCAAAATACCCCCCGCGACGACAATTAAACATTATTGTTTTTTTTATATTTCATTTAGAAAGTGGAAACGTCTCTCTTTTTTATCTTAAAATACTGTTCTCTCAATATTGATCTTGGAGCAATTTGGTTGATTCCAATATTGACAGGGAAACACTTGCTGATTAGAGGATTCAAAGGGACGCATACCGCCATCAGACAAAGGAAGCATGGACCACAGAAGGTAATTTGAGGGTTGCACAGCAACGAGAAAAAGGCATATTAGTGGATATAAGATCCTTTACCAGGGCAACTCTTTGTGTTGAGAGAAGATCCATGGACGTGCTATTTCTCGTACGTCCTACAGTGTGGTGTTACACAAGCGCTTGGGCACAGCGTGCACAAACCTCCATGACATCATCGCAAGGCAACTATAACCTACAGTCTTGCTGCATAATTTTGAATAACAGGCGTTGTTTACGGAGTATTCTTTGAACTTGTCCACGTCGGCCCAAATCACATTTCTGCCTGGTTGGCAAACCGAGTACCCGGCATGGAGATACCTTAGTTACGGACAATCTTTCTTCAACATACTACGTAGTATCTGAGAAAAAACCTTCGCGGTAAGCAAGGAATATTCTTTTTAGGACTCCACTTTAAATCAACTATGCAATTCTAGACTAGGGATGTAAATTTGTGTGAGCAAAAGAAGAAATTGACAACGTGACATATGGACAATATTCGCAAATGATTCATGACCACCACTTAAGGCGGGCGGTTCCGCGCTCTACTTTTGAACAGTGGCGTAGATCTGGAGACGGGGAACCCATAGTTTTTTTTGGACAGGGAGCTAAGAAAATATTCTGGAAAAAGCATCTGTAACTTAGTTGTGTAAAGCATCTTATCACGATCGTCTTGGTGATGCCCTTTTTTTTCTTCCCAGTAGAAAAGAGTCAGGGAAGAAGAGCAGGAGGCGAAAAGAGGAAAGACTATACAGCATTTCATTGGTTCGCTTTTGAGAAAATCGGCTGACGTCGGGCCGATCAAGGGGGATCCCGCCCAATCCGAGGTCTTGAACAACTGGCTAAACCCCTAGAGGTACTCGTCCGAAGCGTGATATCCGACCTGATCCTTCGCTAACCGTTCTTTTGGTTCGACTATACCTTTCTAGAATTTCTCTTACCCAACATCCAGGCTTTTTTGCTCACCACCAGGCCTTTCGTCTGGCTCTAGGCATTGCCTAGCTCTGTTATCTCCAAAGTTTGACACATCCTGACACATAAAAAGAAATTTTCTTGTCATGGCGTCGGATCGAAATAAAACGACCCATTGTTCACCGCAAAGGGAGGGTTTGAGTCCTTTCTGTGCAGCGAAACGTTCACACGCCTTCCACTCCCCCACTTAGCTGCAGAGCCATCTGATCCCTACAACTCCATCGTCAGTCACGAATACTCTTACGACATACTACGAAACCTAGTTTTACAGTCCGAAGCGCACTCGTTCAACGTCAATCTTGTTGTCCTGCCAGCCTGCCACAATGGCAGAACACGAGATGCGTGAGCTAAGCGGCGAGAAGAAACTTCCCCAAGAAGAAGTGACCGGATCATCATCGTCAAGCGATGTCGAGCAGCAAAAGAGCCCGGCCTTGCCGGAGCTGCAGAGAAAGCTGAAGAGTCGCCATTTACAAATGATTGCAATCGGTACGCAGCTTGCTTGCTTCGTTTCTTAGCTTCGGATGGAATCAGTGCTAATGGACGAAAAGGAGGGACAATTGGAACAGGTCTCTTCATTGGTAGCGGTGCTGCGTTGCAGAAATCTGGCCCTGTCGGCGCTCTTATTGCTTACATCTTCGTTGGAACCCTTGTCTACTCGGTCATGACGTCTTTGGGAGAGATGGCCACGTCAATTCCTATTGCTGGAGCATTCACCTCGTATGCTTCGCGTTTCGTCGACCCCAGTCTCGGTTTTGGTATGGGATGGATCTACTGGTTCTCGTGGGCAATCACATACGCGCTGGAGCTCACTGCTTCTGGTTTGATCATCCAATACTGGGATAGCTCACTCAGTATTGGTATCTTCATTGCCATTTTCTGGGTCGTCATCACCACTGTCAATTTCTTGCCCGTCAGCTTCTATGGCGAGATCGAATTTTGGTTCTCGATGATCAAAGTTATCACCGTCGTCGGCTTCCTCATCTTTGCAATCTGTATCGACGCGGGAGCCGGCAAGCAGGGCTACCTTGGCTTCCACTACTGGGTGCACCCGGGCGCTTTCGCTCCCTATCTGCTTAAATCGAAAGGTGGGGTGGCCAAGTTTGTTGGCTTTTGGTCTGTCCTTATCCAAGCTGGCTTTTCTTACCAAGGAACGGAGCTTGTTGGTATTGCCGCTGGCGAGTGCGAGAACCCCCGAAAGACTGTTCCCTCGGCCATCCGGAAGACCTTTTACCGAATCTTATTCTTCTTCGTCTTCACGATATTCTTCATCGGCTTGCTTATTCCCTACGACAACGAGTCGCTTCTCAATTCGTCTAGTGGATCCGATGCTTCGGCCTCGCCCTTTGTCATTGCTGCGAGACTTGCAGGCGTTAAAGTGCTTCCCGGTCTGATCAATGCCGTACTGCTGGCAGTGGTCCTCTCTGCTGCAAACTCCAACGTCTATTCGGGCAGTCGAATCGTCGTTGGTCTGGCAACGGATGGTTTCGCGCCCAAGTTTTTCAAGAAGACCACAAAGCATGGTGTTCCCTATTACGCCGTTGCCTTCACGGCAGCCTTTGGCCTTCTCGCCTTCTTGAATCTATCCAACAACGGTGGCACCGTGTTTAACTGGCTCTTGAACATTGCAGGAGTTGCTGGATTTATCAGTTGGGCATGCATCAACGGCTGTCACCTCGCCTTTATGCGGGCTCTCCGTGCTCAAAACATTTCACGCGAAAATCTTCCTTACAAGGCCATGTGGCAACCTTTCTTTGCCTGGTATGGTCTCGGCTTCAACGTGCTGATCATCCTTACCCAAGGCTTCACAGCCTTCATTGATTGGAGCACCAGCGACTTTTTCGCGGCTTACATTAGTCTCCTTCTTTTCGTGGTCCTCTACTTTGGACACAAGATTGTCTTCCGTACCAGACTCGTCAATCCGGCAGAAGCCGACATCGACACCGGACGCAAGGAAGCAGACACCGAGATTTGGGAGACTACGGTCCCGACTACACTTTGGGGCAAGTTCTGGGAGCGCCTTGGATAAAGGGATCGAATAATTATTCATCGCATGCATTTGCAATTCTTTCTTCATTTGCCCTTTTTCCTTTAAAAGTCTCCCCGATTTCTGGAACTTATATTTTGGTTGAGATGTATATTTTTTATTATTCATAGACGCATTACGCATGAGCGGGGCATTGCTTTTTTTTTTTTTTTTTTTTCCGTCTTGTTCTTGGCCGCCTGCGCCATTGCGAG